ACCACAAGTCTTTGTCAAGAAGGTTTCACACAGTAAACTGATGATTCTTCAAAAGTTCTGTGATGAACTCTGGTGTCAGTTGCTAAATGGAGCTGCTGGTGCCACATGTTGACAAAATGTATTGCATCCCAATTTTCTGAAGATCTGCCTATTATCCTTTTGGCACTCAAGTCATAACTTCTTTCACGTGTGGAATAGCATTCATCATACTAAAGATCTGTTCTGTCTCTGGGCTGCTAACAGCTATTATAGTTAAAATTCTTTCAGATTTAGCAAGTGTGAGTGGAAAAGAAATATGCAGTTTTGATTACAGATTTGTGTGTACAAAATCTCTAAGTCATTAAGGCCAATTCAACCTTGCCAATTCCTTTTCATTTTCTAATCACAGTGAAAGTATTTCACCATATTTCCATGTACGAGGAATAGTCAGTAAATAGGCCACAAATTTGATTTAAAAAAAAAAAAGGCAAATCGTGTGATATTCAAACACAGGGATAACATTTATTTCTCGGCATATCCTCCACCAGAATCCATATACTTGTCCCATCATTGTACCAGTGCTTTGAAAGTAAAAGTACAGAAGTTTTTTGGCTTCTGTCTCAGCCACTTCTGCACCTGATCAGACATAATCTATTTAGAGTGTCCCTGAGAGAATCCATTTCTATTTAAATGCCTAAATATTCTAGAATTTCATGGAGTTTCACTTAATCTACACTGTTCATAGCCTTATTCAGAGCCAACTGCAAGCAATGGTTTAGACAATGCCACAAACAAATATCATAAGACAACACCACACTGTTTTAAACATTCAACTATTATCCTGAAGACATTCTTAGCTACTACACCAACAAAATTAATTCTTGATTTTATTGCTGAATTAACTTCACACTGTAAATATATTACTAACACACTTCTTTCACCCTAAGGTTGATGATTCATGATGCAGACCTTTCCGTTTCTGTTATTCACCTTTCTGAATAAATTTATTTGGGACAGAATATTTTCAACAACATAAGTTGCAGAAGATCATGCATGAAGATCATTACCATTTTGAATTCCAGTTTTCTTTAGCAATGAAAGGGCATAATCAGTATCAGACATAGATCTAGTTTGCTCTGTCAGACTGTAAACTATGTTCAAAATACGAAATATGATGTTCACACCTTTCTTATAAGTGCTTTCAATCACTGAAGGCAATTATAAATGTTATAAATTTATAAATTTTAAATGTTCATTCAAGAGCGAACGCTTTTTTGTTTCTTTCCCTTAAAGATGTGTAATGACTTTCCCTGGAATTTCCATTTTCACCCACAAGGCAGTCCACCCATTCATGAGATGCATAGATAACTTTTCTGGACCCATATCATGAACGCCTGGTATATACATTAGAGTCTAGATATTTATTTTTATCAACCAACCACTAATATTCCTTCTTAAAATATTTCACCTCCATTTCAGACCAGCAATCTGCACTGTCAGATGAGCTGTCTGTTGCAGGGAGGAATCTTCCGTATTTGTCCCTACTGATGGACCAGGACTCGGTTCTGCAGTCATAAAATGGTCAGTTGCACACTGCTTCATTTCAGCAAATGACAGTAATGTATTTTGCTTTTCCATTTTTTCACAAGGCCTTCAAGACTGTGTAAGTAACCAATATTACAATAATTAATTTTTAAACAAAGAACACATGACTGCAATTGCCCACACCACAAATTCTGCGAACTGACAACTACAGCTTGTCAGTGCTGCCAGATGTTTAAAACTTACAGGCTACGATGACAGCTGGTAGAGTGCTCTTCAAAAATGCAGCAGATATGGTTTTTAAACAGTAGATACATGTTAAAAGCCAGGTTGGAATTATAAATTATATTTCTATTTTGTTGTTAAATTTTATCAAACACATTTTTTTAACACAGGCACAAGTACTCTCCAAAAATTTAGACAGAGGCTCAGGTAATACCCAAAAATTTAATCACAGATTTGCGCTATCCCCCCCTCCCCCACAAGATCCCTCCAAGCACACCTTTGCACACAGGCCACACAAGGCAGGCAGACAGACGAGCATGCCTACTTATTTCATACAAAAAGCAGACAAAAGGGAATAATATCTATTTCCACATGGATTTGGGGAAACACCATTCAGAGATTCAAACCATAAATTACTGATGTTCATATTTCTCTCAAATCTGCACTGATGGTTATCAAATTATCACTGGCCTGGTTAGAATACCATTTGCTACAGAAGTATAAAAACATGAACCTTAGAAAGTTACGAATAGCCACTGGCAATTAAACTGCAGCTCATATAGGATATCACATGGAATTCACCATTCAGACAACAGTGTATCTCTTCGGCGTGTACCAACATAAACATGTAATAGCATTTACAAATGTCATAAAAATGGGGGGCAGGAGGAAATCTTCAATATGAAGTTGTCCCTCTGCTTAATTATGATGCCATGAATACATATGGGGGAGTGGTGGTATAGTTCCACATATTATCCTTGGCACTAAATGGAGGTGAACGATTAGCTTCAACCCCAGTTGCTATAGTCCCTGGGAAAAAATCCTCTGAAACACACTGAACAGGAGTCTACATGAGCCCCACAGCTGGTCTGGATGCTTTAGAGAAGAGAAAACCTCCTGCTGCTTCCGGGAATCTGACCTCAATTATTTGTTCACCCAGGCCATAGTATAATCACTGTGGACTGAGCTATCCTAGCAAGTCTCATTCTGATATGCATGCAAACCATAAAACATGAAAACTACAGGATGCACTGAAATTTAATAACCTGTGGAATGGAAAGGGTGACTTCCTAATCAGGTCGATGCTTCCAACAGAATATCAAGATTTAATGAAGAGCACTTATGAACAGTGCTACAACTCTAGCGCAAAATGTAAGAATGATCTGGATATAACAATATATATACTAAAGCAAAAATGCATATAGAAAGGTTTGGAGGTATGTAAGAGATAAATGGGTAGACAACTGAACAGATATACCTGGTCAGAAGCAGACATGAGGCATTCCACAGCGGCTGAGCGCTTGAGCTGTTCGCAGTCGCATACATCCCAGTATTCCTCCCTGTAGCGACCGCGCTTGCGGCCACGTCGACCAACCTCCTGGATGGGGCCACATACCCAAGCCACATTTAATGATCACTATTGTTTCCAGTAATTCTATGCAGGGTTTGGATTTTTAGTTATAACCTTTAAAACGTTGTCACACAGTGTTTAAGTGGGGAAAGCCTTTAACAGTAACTCCAAATGTGATCAAGTCCACTTCACACATTCCACAGCTATTACAATGGAATAGTTTTTATTCAACCCAAAGCAGAAACAGGATCACTACACTTTTTCTAGTCATAACCCCTCAATGATTAGGTTTCAATACTTGTGGTTTTGTTATGAGGAAACGTCCACTAGCATTCATACATGCCCTGCAGCAGGATCAATATACACATACGCAATATAAAGTAAACTTTGCATTATATCTTGAGATGATGAATGACAACCATCACTTCTATGTCCATCTTAATAACACCAACATATTTTCCCCTTTTATAATGACAGAATGGGCTTCCTGTTTGCTACTTCTTTATACATGTGCACAACTATATAAATTCTTAAAAATCATTATAATAAATTAACCCATGGTGTTGAATAATGTTGTTCACACACCATAACATGACACTACTAGTTTTCCCTTGCCTTGCTATAAATATAACAAACAAAATAAAACTGGCCGTTAAAAATGCAGCACACGTTTAATACAAAGTGTCCATGTGTTCCAAGTTCAGTCGACAAATCCTAAACCTTGATCAGTCCCCCCCTCCCGCAACAATTAGGGATTTCAATGGTTCAAACAAGGTATACTGGCATACCATTTGGTAAATAAAGCCTGCACCACATTCTGGCTGACTTGTGATTTCAATGTTCCTGAGTTGTTAGGTTTATCCTGGAGAAGAACAGGATATAAAGCATGAAATATTTTGTCTGAAATCAAGTGACACTGAGTCATTTAATATGTGAAAACACTAAGGAGACCACCTCCTTGTATCTTGTATGCAGAATCTATAGCAGGACACCTCTTTTTGCCCTCTTTAAATGCATCTGCATCATTGTGCAGTACCTATTAAAATTGCGCTGTCTATATGTACAAAACGTGAGAAACTGCTGGATAGCTTTACATGAAACTGATATTGTGCAATGGACAGATTAGGTTAAAACTGGATACTCTACACAAGCACTTATGCATGCATTTCAAGCCTAACTCATCTGTGCTGAGAAAGAGTCAAATAATCTTTCCAGGAGACATAAGGTTGTTTAAAAGCAGAAGAGAAAAATTTCAAGCATTTACTTTGATGGTGAATCCTTTTAAACAATTTATTTAGGAAATGCACAATCATGTTTCTAATGTGCAGCATATCAGCCACTTTTCTTACAAGATTATTGCTAAGGTTCTGAGTAAGAGGCCCACAGCAAAAGTTGAGAAATTCAGTCATTCAAGGAAGACTATTTAACATCATCAATTTATCATACCAGAAAGTAAAATTAGGTTACTATCATGAAGCATAAGTTTTAAAGGTATTCAGGCTTGTAAAAACACTTTAGGGCTTGAGATGCTCAAAAAAATTTATGATTTAATCAGACACTAAAGAGACCTGGCACAATGATCAACCACTGACAGCATTAAATATATCTGAATAACAGAAACCTTAAAAATTACAAGTATGTGACAAACCAATTGCAGTATTACAGACTGCAAATTCATATTATGTGTATTCTTTCACCACATACTTTAAAACAGGAAACATTTTAATCTTCTTACATACATAATGAATGCAAAAGATGAAAGACCCTCCCCACAAACATTACGATCCTCAAGGACCAGCATGCAACCCTTTCATTACCAACTCCATCACAATTCAATGTTGCAAGACATGCTATTAAGCAATCTCATTTACCATGAGAATAACAAAAGATTCAAAGTTCTTACCTTAACTTTATTCGAGGAGACAGTAAGGAGATCGTCTGGCAAATCAAGTGTGTCCCTCTGTAACAGACTGAGGATATATCGAGTGTAGACCACTGCATCAATACCTCGAGCCTCAAGTTGCTCATCGAGCCAATCCTGCACAGCTGAGGGCATCGACACCAACTGTGGGTACTTCATGCTACTCTGATCCTGTAAGCATACAATAATTCTTGTAAACATTTAATAATTCAATAACACTTTCTTTCTTTCAACAGCCAACTGTCAGCAAAGAAAACCGGTAATTCAGCTGTATGAACAAGACAATATTCATTCAGTCGCCATTATTCTGACATTGAAACACTACTCCATCTTTTTACCTAAAAATATACTGATTTTACCTTTAAAACTCAATTTGTGTCTAGGCCAATCATTTTTCCTCTTGCGAGAATATAAGAAAAATTTTGTTTAGGGGGTTAGTTCTGCCCAGCTGTGAGCCAAATGTCTAGAAAATGTGGAAGCCTCAACATCTCCCAACCCTCTGGGCCTCTGCAACCTGTTACAGGGAATTTTTTTACTTTGCAGAAACTTGTCTATAAAGTTTTGAAGTCAGTGTGCTAATAGTTATATCCTATGACAGCATCCACCAGTAATTCTGTGGAGTCATTCTATGAAAACCCAACACACCCACTGAACCTTCAGTCCTGACTGTGATGACATTTGGTATACATATCAGTCCCATAACAACCATCTTCATCTATTTCTTTTTGTGAAGTGGTGTTTGAAATACAGAGTGTTAATCTTCCCAACCAGAACAAAAAGAAATATGTGCAAGTTCTGTTTTTAGTAACTACTTTAATAATGCAATTTGAGATGTTTCATCGCAATCTGAGATGGTGAGATGTCAGCTGTGTGATTAGAACAGGTGAATACCAGTCAGAATCTCTATATACTACAGTTTCACCACTGTGGGAACACCAAATCAAGATTTCACTGTACTAATTTTTTTACATGTTCATCAAATATTTAATTCAATGACTTACACATATTAATTTCATTAACTTACCTCAGCATAGGAGGCTTAACGATGAGGAAGCCATTAAGCAGCACAAGCAGGCAGAAACCAGTTCACGAGATGTTTGAATATTCTGGTTATCTTGCAAAATGGAGCTGCCTGGATGTGAGTCTTTGTGTCTATTCTTCATCTCCACAGAAGTCTTTCTTGGTTTTCCCGTATGAGAGAATTGATGTGCTTAGTGGTGAATCAATTTTAACTGATGCAGTGGCAAAGTTGTGAAATGCCATAAATTCATTTGGTATTATAAAAACTCTATACAATAATCAGAACTGTTCCTTGTACATGAAGATTTGTTACAGATAGGGAAGAAATGTCGAAATGGGGAAAATTCAACTGATGCATGCTAAATGTTCATTCACACTTGTATAAAATCTTCAGTGAAATTAAAAGTTCCATTGCTCATTTCTCACAAAATATGAGACTGCATGCACCATCCCATTCTGAAACTGAAGCAACAACAAAATGTTACAATATCACCACAAACTGTTCATTTCTTGGAAAAAGGAATTCACAGCCACACTGAAAGAAACAAGAAAATCAAAATACCAGGAAAAATTAATAAATTCACAAAAAAAAAGAAGACATCTCCAAGCTACACACAACTTATAATTAGAACATCTCTGGCAGTGTGCGATGTCTGCGGTTTCAAACATTACCCAGGTATTCAAACACAAAACTGGACCTGATACTGGCAATGTTTTATACATAAGAACTGAGGCAGACCAGAATGTTTCAATACTCTGACCTTCATAAAATTAACTGAATAAAAGAGGGTCATCATTTCTGGGAACACGCAGTAACCAGCAAAGGTTACATCTGAAAAGTATGGTGATTGCACATGCAGAGTGATAATGCAGACAGTAACCACATATGGTTATGATTTTACAACTGAACCACAGTTACATTGTTGAAGCATGATGATATTGAGGACAGATCAGTAAGATCTGCAGTGAATGGAGACTGTGGAAGCACTGTAATACTGGGAACAAAGCATATGTGGAAATGAATAAACCTGGAGCGTAGGGAGACCATAGAAGCACAATGATACTGGATACAGATAGTAACCAGAAAAGGATACATCTGGAGTGCTGAGATTGTGGGAACACAGCAATACTGAGGACAGTAACTAGAAATTACTCAACTGGAGCCCAAAGAGACTGTGATAGACTATTGATACTGGAAAAAGTTAGATCTGGGGCATTAGGAGAATGCAGAAGCACAGTGATACTGGGAACAGACAGTAACAAGAGAAGACTAGATCTGGGGCATTGGGAGACTGTGGAAGTACAGTGATACTGGGAACAGAGAGTAACAAGAAAAGACTAGATCTGGGGTGTTGGGAAATTATGGAAGCACAATGATACTGGGGACAGTAACAAGAGTAGATCTGTTGTGTTGCAAGATTGTGGAAGCACAGTGATAATGGGAACATATAGTAACTACAGACCAGATCTGGAGTGCACAGTGATACTGGGAACAGAGAGTAACCACAACAAACTACAGCTAGAGCATTTGGAAACTATGGGAAGCACAGCAATACTGGGAAGAGACAGTAACCAGAAATGACATATAGAGCACAAGCAGATTGTGGAAGCACAGTAATACTGGAAATAGTACAGTAAGTGGGGAAAGGCTAGATCTGGAGTGCAGCGAGACTGTGGAAGCAGTGATAACATACTTGGTTTGGAAGTCACCTTCAGCATCAAAAAAACAGAGAATTCCTGCAGACTGCTCAAAGGGGAAGGTAATGTTTTAAATATTCTTTGGTAAAGACAGTGCTGTTCATGGTGAGCTCATTCCAGAATAGCTTAATGTCACCAAGACCAGGTATAGAGGCATTTGTTGTATGAAAGAAGAAATCTGCATAATGAAAATGAAATAATTTTTGGAAATCTGGAAACTGCCTTCTCCACCATGAAACAGAAGCAGCTCATCTGTATTTTAATGGTACAGGAATACCCAACTAAGAATGGTATCATTAATGCACCAATTAGCAGTGTGCATGCTTGTATTTGTGCTCGTGGCATCTACAGTTTCACAATGCAAATTCACGAATTTAGTGTACAAAAATGAAGTGATGTTGCGCACTTGTTATGGCTTCAAGTACTAGGCCTGCTTTGCTCTTGTGATTACAAGAGAAGGCTTCAAGCACTTGACTCCTGTAAACTATCCCCATGTAAATTAGATTTACTCCAACCAAGTGAGAGGTAGTTTTCTTCTACAAACTAGCAATGTTGAAGCATAATGAACGGCAGAAATGGCACCAGAAACATATGCAACTCCCTATCCTGAAATGTTCCTACTGAATGTTAAGACTTCAAACAAGCTTTCCATCTTTCTCCAAATTAAATCCTTTTACACACCAAACCACTATTCTAAACTGCACCACCATATTAAGTTATAAAATGCTACTCAATTATGTAAATGCTTAAAATCATTACAAATAAAGCAACCCCTTTATATAAACCACTCTTCTACAATCCATCTTATCCAGAAGTGAAACGCTATTCAACTATGCAAATAGGCATAAAACTCAGTATCCGAATTCGTACAGTCATTCTTCTATTACAAAATACTTCGCTTTATAACGAACACCTTCGTGTTAGACGTATTCCACTATGGAGTTGTAAACACATAGCTACAAACACTAAGCCAATATTACAAGGTTGGTCAAAACGCATTACGTCGCACACAACTGCATTCACATTTTAACATGCACTCTGTCTTATTCATGTCGATGAAGGATATATTTATCCACTACAGCCTATATAGGTAGAAGATGGAAGTTCCTAGTCTTTATTCCCTGAGTCACACAAGCTGATTGCGAAACTCCCGTGTCCAAAGCGGAAGCTCATGCTCTATCAAATCTCACTTTCTGAAACATTAACAGGTCTCAACTAACAAAAACAACCGAAATAAACGTAGTATTTCGTCACCTGAATGTTATGAAGGGATGACGTTCACCCCGCTGAATCCCTACACACCCCACTATATATTAAACATGGCTGAATGGTTCAACGGTTCAAGGGTCCCCGAACAATGGCGCCTCTGGTGCATACCCTAGCGGCCCTAGCGCACGGATCACCTTAGCGCTGGCACGGATTGGAGCTGTGCGCTTGTTGCTTTGGCGCGCGAAACTAGCATAGCGACCAGCGATAATGACCGCTGATGACGCTCGTGACCACAGATCGGTCCTGTGACCATCGTAATAAGGAGAAAATCATGGGACGAAACATGCAAGCTAATAAACTCATTTAAAGCAAGAAGTTCGTGAATGTGTTACAAAATAAAATCGGTTATTTTTTGCTTCACAAGCAGAAGCAAGCTTGCCATCTACTTTCAGACTGGTATCTTGCTCGGCTTATGCGATCCTGAAAATGGAGGCAATACGTTCCTTTGAAACGCCTGTGTGACTTCCAATGGATCTTCCGTTATAATCCAGGAGATAGTACTCTTCATACCCACCTATTTAAGAACCACAAATCCTACATGGTGCTTAATAGTCCACCAGCGTATATAGTATGAACGTATACACTCTCTTTATTTTACCATCACAACACAGCAAATATAGAACTTCAAGGACAATGCTCAGTATAGATCTGCTACATGTTTCGCAAACACACATCAACAATCGTACACCACTGAACTGCAGTACGTAAAATTTGTGCAAATTAACTTAAATGATTTATAACATTCTATCAAATTTTACGTACTGCAGTTCAATGGTGTACTATTGTTGAAGTGTGTTTGCCTGATGATGGCCACTTGTGGCCGAAACATGTAGCAGAACTATACTGAGCATTGTCCTTGGAAGTTCTATATTTGCTGTGTTGTGAGGATCAAAAAAAGAGATTGTATATATTGTAACACGGCAGGTTGCACGAAATTAAGATTAGTATGAACGTATTTAATGTATTCTAGAAATGTGGTAAATAAAATACATTGTGAAAGAAAGCTGTATCTTTCTGATGCTTTGCGGGCAGTATCTATGTTGGCTACCATAAATCTACATTTTGAAGCTACATAAATTTAGCACATACATGTTGTAGCCCCAGGCATAAGTTACAGCTACATCAAAAATTACCATAGCACAAAAACCTGGATTTAACTGCAGAATGTGGCTCTTCTGCAGTAATTACTCGTATAATTATGTATAATACAAAATCATTTCTTTCACATAGCCATTAATGCTGATGTACATATAATATGTGATGCCATGAATCATGCACAACTTAAGTGTAGACTTGAATCAGAACCGATTTTAAATATAACTATGATGGCCATCTTATTTTGAAATTTGGTTCTATTTTTCCTCTTTGAGTAAACTCAATATTAAAGGAAATATACTCTTTTGTGCCCCTTCTGCAGAGCTACTCTGTTGGGCCCAACATAGTAGGTTTTCATGCACATCGTATTCACCTGAAGCTGGAAACAGAACCAGTTACTAAAAGTTGTAGTAGATAATTGCCATGATATCTGGAACTCTGAAATGTTCAGGGGAGTGTGTGGTGCCGACCAACTGAATGAGAATTAAAAGTGATGGAGTTAACAGTCAGGCAGGATGGGATGACATTTCACCTGTTGATATTATGTGGGCTGGGAGGTTACCTTCAAATCTTCAATTAGGAGTCATTAAAAAAAATAGTAATAATAATAATAATAATAATAATGAATATCAAATCTCCCTTTCAATCTTCTTCTCTCAAGACCAACTGTATATGTAAATGAAATTGTTGGTGATCATCAGTATGGATTTTGACATTATACATCAAGTACTAATCAGATATTCTAAACTTAACAGATAATTGGATAAGGAAGGAGAACACAACAGGAGAGCATATCAGCTATTTATTAGATTTCAATAGGAAGGATTGTAAAAATGGTGGATCATGTATATTTGTAACCAAAGAGTTAAATACCAGGGAAGTTACATTTCTCAATGATATGAGCTGTGAAAAAATTTTCGAATTAGCTGTAGTTGAAATTGTTGACTTTAAATGGTTATTGGTCTGTATTTACAGATCCCCCCAAAACAATGCTGGTTTATTCCTGGAGAAGCTGGAAACTCTTGTCGATAGAATACATAAAAAAAGGAAAAAGTTAATTATTTGTGGTGATTGGAATATAGACCTTCTCCAGGTAAATGAACACACACGGACACTGGAAAACTTATTGATATCTTATGATCTAAAAAATACAGTAACTGTACCAACAAGAGTTACTAGTCTCTCCAAATCCTCGATAGATGTTATGATTACTAATAAACAGTTTAATAAGAATTATATTGAAATTGTAAATATGGGTTTCTCTGACCATTTGGCTCAGATCTTATGGGTAAATTTAGACACACGAAGAATGGAGCAAAAGGATAAAGTACTTTTAAGAAAGTTTTCTAAGGTAAATATAAGCAAATTCATAGACTTGTTAAAGGATGAATTATGGGAAGAAATTTCTGTGGAAAGGAATGTAAATGAATTATACTCATTATTTATAAATAAGTTTTTATACTATTTTACGAGAGCATTCCCATTGAAATTAGAAACAAAGAGTGACCGCAAAGATAATTTATGGATATCTAGAGGAATAAGAGTCTCATGTCAGAAAATGAGGCTTTTAAATAGTTTAAAGTGTAGATTACCACTATCAAGGGATTCATTAAACTATATAAATAGATATCACAGAATCTATAAACGAGTTATCTCTGAAGCTAAGAAAAGGTATAATGACAATCAAATACGAGATGCTACAAATCCAACTAAGATGATGTGGCAGATAATAAATAAACAAATGGGAAATGCAGGTAGGGCAAATCATGATATATGGTTACAAAACAATTCAAAGAAAATAATACACCCGCAGAAGGTGGCGAATACATTAAACTCTTATTTTATTGATAAAGTTGAAGAACTGGTGGAGGAAACTAGAAATAGAAATAATAATAGATTACCACAATTATTAGTCGACCGAAATCCAAACTCCATGTATCTCTTCCCCATTTCTGAAGATGAAATTGTGTTAGTAGTAACTAAATTAAAAGGTAAAGCCTCTGCTGGAGTTGATGAAGTCCCTGAATTTTTATTAAAAGCATGTATTCAATGTATAAAAAAACCACTTACATTCATTTTTAATGAGTCTTTAAACCAGGGGATTTTTCCAGATTTATTAAAAATTGCAAAAGTTAGGCCTGTTTATAAAAAAGGGAACAGACAAGAAGCTAGTAATTATAGACCGATAGCGCTTTTATCTGTATTTTCAAAAATATTGGAAAAAATAATGTATTCTAGACTGGTATCTTTTACTACAAAATACAAAATTTTAACAGAAAATCAACATGGGTTTCAGAAAAATAAATCAACTACATCGGCGTGTCTGTCCTTCATTGGAAAGGTCCAGGAAGCATTGGATAGGCGGTTAGGGGTGGTAGGTATATTCTTTGATCTCTCAAAAGCTTATGACGTTATAGATCATGATATACTTCTTGAGAAATTGGAGCATTATGGAATAAGAGGGAATGCCATAATTTGGTTAAAATCCTACCTTTCTCTACGTTCTCAGTATGTCGAAATAACTTCAAATGACAATAAATATCGTAAGAAGAGGTATAATTCCTCATTTAAGAATGTAAAATTTGGTATACCCCAGGGTTCCATCCTGGGCCCACTGTTGTTTTTACTTTATATAAATGATTTACCCTATCATATATTTGACGGTGAAGTTGTCCTTTTTGCAGATGATACTAACATATTGGTAACAGATAAAAATATAAATATTCTCCAAGATAAGATAGGAGAGGTGATGATCCAGTTAGAATCGTGGTTTTCAAAAAACAATTTGATTATAAATACGGAAAAGACCAAAGCAATGCTGTTCCAATTAAACAAATCATACTATATGTCTGAGCCAGTAATCACCTTCAAAAATATGAAAATTAGTTATACCTCACAGTTTAAATTTTTAGGTGTTAATATATCAAATAACTTAAAATGGAGCTCACATATTCAATCTTTATGTCTAAAATTAAATAAGGTGTGTTATATTATAAAATCCTTGAAAGATGTAGTGAGTTTCTCTACGCTCAGGAATGTTTATTTTGCTAAATTTCAGTCCTTAATAAGTTATGGTTTGATTTTTTGGGGGGGAGAGTGTGAAAGCAGTAAAATACTGAAAATACAAAAAAGGATACTTCGATTAATAAAAGGCGTAAATAGTAGAACTACATGCAGACCAATCTTTAAAGATCTAAAGATCCTAACTGTTACCTCTCTGTACATCTTTGAGGTATTGTGCTACTTTCAGAAATTTAATCTGTATACTACTAGAAATTCAGATTTATATGAATATAATACTAGAAGAAAAGAGGACTTCCATGTACTAAGCTGTAGCACATCTACCTCTAAAAAAAGTGTCATAAATATGGGTATTAAAGCTTACAATAGATTGCCTTTGAAAATAAGAAAATTAAATGGATTCAAAGATTTTAAATATAAATTAAAATTATTTTTACTTGATAACCCATTTTATACAATGAAGGAGTTTCTCTTTGAGGGACTGCAGGATGAATAGAGAAACTCTGCTCAAAATCCTTAATGATGATTTGATGATGTGTTTTTATCCTTGATGAGTATGGTTGTGATGGTTACTTTAGTAACTTGATTTTAAAGTAGTATTTTTAAAGTTGGTCGATTAAGCATAAAGGCAAATAAACTTGAAATTAACTTATTTATATCTAAAATAATCCAAAATTTGTGTACTTGTATTCTGTATTGTAGTTTTAATTAGAGTATGTCTCTGTTGACATAGGAACCCTTTAGGCCGTGGGCAAAGGATTCCCGAATGATTGTACTACATGTTATGACTTGTCCATGTGTTACTTTGTAACAGTTACGGATGTTAATAAAGATGATGATGATGATGATTATTCATGTAGGAGAGAAGTACTGCATAGCATTCTTACTGAATTCAGTATACCCATGAAACCAATAAGGCTAACTGAAATGAGGTGAAACAAAATATACAGAAGAATCTAAGCAGATAAACATTTATCTGATGCACCCAAAATGGTTTGAAACAAGATGTCTTATTGCCACTGCTTTTAATGCATGTTCAGGAAAATCCAAAAACCAAGGAAAGGTTAGAATGACATGGAGGTTATGATGGGAATGGTGGTGGCCATGATATTAATTTATGCATGTATAGGACGCGTGCGCGTATAGGCCGCAACACAATTTTCAGACAGAAATTATAGAAAAAATAATTTTCTTGGAATATTATTTCAGGAGTAGAAATTGTTCCGAAATATTCCGAATATAATTTTTTTTAAATGAAGTGTGATTTCGAATATTTCGAATATAAGCCGCACCCCAGTTTTCCTCTTGAATTTTTGGCAAAAAATGTGCGGCCTATACATGCGTAAATACGGTAATTTATCTGGTGAAAATATAAATACCACAAAAAAGAACATAAACGTCTATTAGACACTAGTAACAAGGATGGCATAAAAGTAACACAAAGAAAACTAAGAATATGTTGGATCTGAGGTTCTCACAGTGGTGACTATGAAGTGTACTATTTTCTGGGATGTAATGCCATGTTGTCCAGCAGAAGTTCACTGATGTTTCACAGGAGCGTCAGGGAACTTCAACTGGACTACATGCCATTAGGTCCCACAAGACATTACTCTTTTAAGTTAACTGTTCATGCCTCATCACCAGAATGCAGCATAATATCATAATACAGTATACAGACAGCTAGTAAATCCTTTGAAAATGTTACAGAGTTGAAATACTGGAAACAATACTAACATATCAAAATTGCATTCACAAAGAAATTAGGAGCATATTAAACCCAGAAATTGTGTGCTGCCATTCAGATCTTCCTGATATCTAAAAACGCAAAGATCAGATACATAAAGTTATAATTTATCCACCTCTCACATTCATGATGGTGTTCCTGGTTTATTCAATGATGCTTTTTCAACTGCACCACTTATACATCACTGAATATTAGGATAATTCAGAATGATGAACTGGAAATATCTGCACGTAAGTGATTATATTTTAAGCTATTATCCCAGAATTTGCTTGAGGAATAGAGGTACCTTAATATAAATGATAACATATGCAAACTAAGGATGGGTCCAGTGCTCATGCAACATCGTCTAAATGCTGTATACATTAATTCCACTATCAAGAGTCCTATAATAATCTGTCTGATTTCTACACTTACATTTTTAAGCTATCATGAAATATTCATGAATGGGAAATTTGAATTATGGAGCACTTATGTTACAAAATATTAATCTCATAAACTGTTTCAGTCAACAAGTATCTAAAGATGTATAATTTTTGCATCATTTATATAAGTTCAAACTACACCAAACCATATCAAAAATACATCCTACATAATATGTACATTCATAACACATTTTATAAACAAAAACAAAACAAAGTCAACCTGTCAGACAGTGGCATACACACTATAATACTTACTGAATAGTCTACAGAAAAGCCTTATGTATATATAGTGTTACATATAAATTACTTGTCATGTGGTTAAGCTATGCACTGCATTTACAGAACTGAAAGAAGATCCATACTAACACTAGCTGAATTTTTTTTGTAAGTGAAAAAAGCTTCTCTTTCTAAAACACAACTTTTGTCATCAGTTCCACTACCAACTACAAGGTATTCACAACTAGTCTGCCATACTTTGGGAGGTAATGTCAAGTAAAAAACGTAATACAACACTGGTCCCATTTCTAACCACTGGGGAGCTACAATTCTTTTAAGATATGTAAAATACAACTGCCTACTTCTGTGAAATTTTACACATGCCAACAATGGTTATGGTTAACAATAAGCAGGGTTCCTACTTGTTCCTACCAGTAATCCTTACAGAACTGTTCAAAGCTACTTATAATATCAAATCTCAGTGAATGTTTGGTGATCTGTTAATTGGAAAATTTGTTTTGAACAAAATTTGACTCCTGCTAATTTTCTGAACTTCCTTATGAATGCTTTGTCATTTTTACTGGAGTACTTGCCTCTGGAGACATCACTCAAGATGTTCTTTCAGAATGATGAAACACCTCCACATTTTGGTCATCGATTTACAGATTACCTGAATCAGTGTTATGGGAATCGAGAGATTTGTAATGTTGCTCCAAAACCTTGGCTATTGAGATACTTGACTTCTTTTTAAGTGGTCTTATGAAAGAAATGATCTACATAAGCAAAATACTAACAATAGTGGAATAGCTGCTTATGCCCCAACATGATGCTATGGGCAGTAAACTTTCATCTGGGCCAAGAAGAACAAGGCACTTGAAAACTGTGATGGACATTTTGAATATTTAATTTATGGTGTTTCTCATAAATTCATGTGATTAATATTCTTGTTTATTTTCTCCAGCATGCACCTTAAACATCTGTAACTTTTTAACAGCTTGAAACAGAACCAATGTTCTACTCACCATCACCTCCCAAAGTATGGCACACTGTTTGTGAAACAACCTGTATATGTTCAGAAGGGCAAGAATGGTATTTATTCCTTACACTTGAGTCTATTTATATGACCCTGCAGTTTGCTTAGTTTATCTTCAAATGTGAATATGTTCTTATGTAGTGCTGTCCTTTTATAAAATATCAATGTTGTATTCAGAGTCCAGTTTCAAAGAATTTATTTTCATCAAGAATGATGTTAATCATTAACACACTGACTGCCATGCCATGTCATGCCATGCATATTTGGATTTTAGGTGCTGGGGCCAGCCATTTTTCCATGAAAACTGGATTATCAATTTTTTTTTACATTAAACTTGGGAATGGAAATGAATATATTACTGTATTGTTTTTAATTCTTTCAAGTTTGACAAGTTACATTTATCATTTCTCTGCATTTCAGTGACAGCTCTAGAGAAAAATTACATTTATATACATACAGCTTGTCATTTAATGGGATCTCTACAGGTAAATGATAAACTTCAACTCATCAGGTGATGGGACTGGCAGTGAATGTATTAATCATTACTGGAAGATAATACAGAAACAAGCATTACATATATACATGGTATGGTAGTGAGCTGTATATGCTGAAATTCAGTCCACTTACTGGAATACATTATTAATTCAGAGCTTTTCACGTTAAGCAATATTGACATATTCATATTTCTTTTACTAATAAATTATAAAATTAATTATTTAAAAACAGAGGCCTGCTCTATCACAGTGTTTTTGAACTATCCTTTTTATCAGTGGGCTCAGACACATTATGTGGCTGAATGGGTGGTGCTGCTGACATAGCAGCAGCACCTGATGTGGATGCTGACACATCACAGCTTGCTCCATTTGCTTTCTTTCGGTCATCTTGTGATATTACATTCGCCTTTACCATAGTTTCCTTTTCCACTTTGAGCGACAATTCTTTCTTCACAGTCTCTTCTACTTTTTGATTGCCTTTCTCCAGTGCTTTCTCAATTTGTTCTTCCAACTCTATCACTTCTTCTTTACTCATTAAGTCAACTATCTCATCAATTTGTTTTTTGTTAAGTTTAACATTTTCTTTGCCAACCAATTCAACTACCTGCAAAAAGGATAAGCCACTTAGTTTCAAGGAAATTAACCAAAACATTATGCTTCTGCTGGATCTCAAGAGATAGGATGGGGTGGTATGGACTCAATTTGTCTGCCTTGGGATAGGGACCAGTGGAGGACTCTTGTGCACACAGTAATGAATCTATGGGTTCCATAAAATGTTTGGAAATTCTTGAGTTGCTGCACAACTGGCAGCTTCTCAAGAAGAGCTCAGCTCCATGGAGTTAGTTATTATGATGCTGTTGGTTTCAGTGAAATTCTACAGATACAAAGGTGCCCCTAAGAAGCCTGAAATAATTTTATAGGGCAAGTTCCAAGCACATAAATTATTCTGAAAAGTGATGAAGAGAGCTTATACATAGAAAACTATCCCATCTTGAAATAGTAGGTTTAGAAAAAAAAAGAAAGGAAAGAAAATTATGTACATATTAAAAAGTCCACTTAAAATCACTAGGAGACTTAAAATATTGATTCAGGTTTGATATTCATTACATCTAATTTAAAGTTTATGGGTTCACCATTATGAGTTATGTCATGCACAGTGAAGTAATAAAACTGTCAGTACTACCTCAATAACTAACAAAATATTCAGAAAACGGTTCTACACATTATAATATGAGGGAGAGCCAGTAAACATGTCACAAATGGATAAAAAACATAAACATGTGATATTTGAACCATGAAAAAACATTTATTTCTTGACATATCCTCCACCATAATTGACACACTTGTCCCACTGCTTTACCAGTGTGCTGAAACCCAAAGCACAGAAGTCTTTTGACTGCTGTCTCAGCTACTCCCGCATCTCCATTTCAACCTCATCATCATCAGCTAACTGTTTTCCACTGAAGTGGTCTTTTTTTAGCAGATAAAAGAGTTGGAAGTCACTAGGGGCCAAGTCTGGGCTGTATGGGGTCTGGCATTGTCATGAGGAAGCAGTACTCCTCTTCCCAATTGGTCTGGATGCTTTCTACCAACTGAATCCTGAAGCTTCACAGGACAATGCAGAATTCATATTTTCACTTCTGAAAATTGGCTAACAGTACTCCCTGAGAATCCCGAAACATGGTAAGCATAACCTTCCCAGCTGACGGCATAACCTTAAACGTTTTTGCTGAAGGTGAACTGGGATGTTTCCATTACACTGAAGCACACTTTGATTCAGGTTGGTAGTGAAGCACTCATGATTTGTCCCCAGTAACATGCCTGTCAAGCATATTCATATCCTCTCTTTCATCCGCATACTGTAAGAGATGCTGCAAGGACAGACCCATTTAGTTACTTTTTTCTCGATCCTTCAGCTCTCTGGGTACCCACCGTGTGCACACTTTCCGAAACTTCGGATGATCATGCATTATGTTGTATGCAATAGTGCAATTGCTACACTGTCTATCATTATCCTCCTGTCAACTTGAATCAACTCTTTCACTCACTGCATAGTTGCTTCTGTCACAGTCTCAATAGGGTGACCTGGTCGGGCATCATTTGCAACTTTCAAATGTCCTTGAGAGAATTTCTCGACCCAGTGGTGAAACACTTTATACGTCAAACACTTTCCACCGTAAACAGGAAGCATTTCATTATGAATATCCTTTTGCCAACAAAAAACACACAACAACATTTTTTTATCACATTACTAACTTTGTAACAGTAAATATCTGTAATTAATGAACATTATAACTAAAATGCATTTGGAAAAAACACATTCACCAGACTGGGGTATGCATTTCCACACTTATAAAAGAACCATTATCAGAAAATCAAGACAAAATGTAATAATAATCAGAGAATCTATTGGGTCTTTCAAACTCAGTTATTTATTACATCCAAAAGCAGCTTGTATAATACAGATAAGGTCACTGTATGAAGAATGGAAGCTTATTAAAACACTGTAATTCTGAATTGACTATATCTTGTTAGAAGAATACTTATAGGTTCTACGAAAGCATTCTCCACCTTAAAATCTAGTTTTATGGCATTTATCCTGGATGGATATTCCACTTAAAAATTTATTCACTTCTCAGTCACTGGCTTCCCACTACAGAAGCCTGGGTTTGAGCCCAAGTAATGTCATGTGGGATTTGTGGACAAAGTGGCACTGGAGCAGGTTTTCTCTGAGTACTTTGGTTTCCCCTGCCAATTCTAATTCCACTGACTGCTTCACACACACACATCATCTATCATCTGGAGCTGGTGCAATAGGCCAAGCAGTGACCGAAGTGTCAAGTCACTTAGTCTCACTCCACCCCAAGAACTAAACTATTCTTTCTATGCTTTATAATATTCATGTTTAAGTGGTTTAAGTTCGAGGTGCCATCCTGGCATATGCCAGGAGGGACTGAGAAAAATCACAAGAGTCCTCAATCATTAAGGCTAATTTCTGGGCTGAGGCTGAAACTGAATATTTTAGTCATTGTGCTGCACGTCTTTCTGGAACTCTAAGCAAATGCTCACCTTCAGTACATCATCTAGTCTGATGGCTCCATCTTTGTCAATATCCATTTTTGCCAGAACTTCAGAAATCCTGTTCACCAGGGAAGCATCTGGAACCTTCTGAATTCTCTTGATAGCATCTTTCAGTTCCTCAATGCTTATCAATTCCTCACTGAAAAAAGTTAAAGAGGATTAAAATATTTGGCTATTTTAAAATTACATTATAAAACATCCATATTTCAGTAATCTACATTAAATTTCCTTGGTACAAATGATTCTGAGGAGCCCTTAGAAGATTACAAGCTTTAAATTCAGCTGTAGTACATGTACCATGCTGCTTGACTCACCAGGAAACTGACAGCATACGTGTATCATTGTAATTTTAAAAACTTACAGTAAATGTCAACATCGAATAGTTCAAAGCTCGAAGTATTATGGACAAAGAGCAGAAGTCTCTGCATAATAGCAATGTGAACCGGTGCCATATAAAGTCAGATGTTGCAATTACTTCTATGCCTCAGTTTGTACATTCACTCTCTTTGTTAAGGTTTATAAGGCAGAGAATGTACTCTACATTTCAACAAATAAGTTACCTTTTTTGTTGTGTTTCCTTTTCTTCAAGAGATCCTTTAGCTTCTAGGTCCTTTATGAGTACCTTCTCTTCACGTTCAAGCTCTTCCAGAACAGCATCCATCTTACGTATCATTCTGTTTACTTTCTTAAATAAGCGTCTGGCTGCCTTCGATTCTCGTACTTTTGATTCTGACTTATCCAGCACCTTCACTACCTTCTTTAGGTCATCAACATCCTATTAACACAGGAATATCTATGTTTAATACACAATAAGACTAGCACATTAAATATTATGTATGGTCCCGGATGTGATGCCTTGTAGCCTGGTAGATGGATACCTGAATTGAGGAACCTCCTGTCCCCATTTTCAGTCGTGAAGATGAAGAACAGCAGATTCCTCTGAAACACTGATACAAATCTACCAGACTTTAAGGATGTAAGAAGCAGGTTCCTCCAAAACAGTGGTACCCATCTATTAAACTGCATTTCATCATATATGAGAAGACCATGGTCTTGATACTCACAGCCATGAGCACATTAAATTTAACCTTTAAGTGACGGCCCTTTAAATTCTGGTAATGGCAGGGGGACGAATTTGATTTAAATACCCACAATTTTAAAGCAATAAAAACTGCAATCATTTTCTAAAATTGCTGTGATTTCTACAATTTTTGTGATAAACGAACCAAATAAATGCTGTTTTTTTCTAGAAAGAATATAGAATCAGATATTGTAATTTACAGACTTTATAAAATGTGTAAAAATTTTTAGACTGATTCCAAGTAAAAAATTCCCAAATTTGTCGTCTGTCTACAAGAATTCAGAGTTCTTGGAACTAAGAATGCTGTATGTAGATGTTGCAACACAGCGGATGGTTTATGTAGCCATGTTTAGTTTTGCATGTCTCGAAAGATTATACACTTATGTCATTTCGGTATGCAGAGATGTGGGGTGAGTATCTATTCGTATACAAGAACCCTGATTGTTTATTATCGCTTGTCGCAACACAACAAGCTCTCTGTTCTCACTCTGCTTGAAGTAGATTATAAGTACTTTCATGGTTAGCATCCTAATACCACAGCCAAGCAGTATCAAAAGCGTGAACCAACCATTGCACTGTCTCGTTTGGAAGACGCTGACATATTTCAACTCATAAATGACTCCGAATCAGATTGTTGTACCGACAACTCTGAGAGTGGCGTTGAGGAAAGTGAATCAGAAATTGATTTCGACGAAGAACCATCATCTTGGTCGGCAACCTGGGGACCACCACACCAGCATGGCAAGAGAAGTGTGAATAATTATTCAGGTGGAGCTGTGGGCAAACTGTGGCAAACAGTTATAGCATCTGTCGTCGAACCTGGAAATGGACAAATAAACTATTTTTCCATCTCCTGGATCTGAACAGTTACATCCTGTTGTCACACAGAGAATTTCGTCTCGCTCTTGTGCGGAACATGCTGGAAGGGGTCCACTTCGCCCTCAATGGACCAGGGGTCAAACCCCTGCCGTTTCATTGGAGATATCTCAATTAGAGGAGGCCAAACAACATCACTGGTGGTTGATTTCAATGAAGAACCATCGTCTTGGTCGGCAACCTGGGGACCACGACACCAGCATGGCAAGAGAAGTGTGAATAATTATTCAGGTGGAGCTGTGGGCAAACTGTGGCAAACAGTTATAGCATCTGTCGTCGAACCTGGAAATGGACAAATAAACTATTTTTCCATCTCCTGGATCTGAACAGTTACATCCTGTTGTCACACAGAGAATTTCGTCTCGCTCTTGTGCGGAACATGCTGGAAGGGGTCCACCTCGCCATCAACGGCCCAGGGGTCGAACCCCTGCCGTTTATCGGAGATATCTCGATTATAGGAGGCCAAACCACATCACTGGCCGACTTCCTCTACTTCGCAATTGAGGTGTCATGTGTGCTTTTCGCGTGGGAAACGAAGAACCGTCCAGACAAAGTGCGTGAAGTGCAACGTTGGACTCTGGATTTCCGGATGTTTCCAAGATTTCCACACAAAGCCAACGTTCCGTTAGACAACGCAGGTGGGAAGAGAGACAACTTATAAAGCTGGTGACCAAAAATCATGTAAGTAGAAAAAGAATTTATAACTTAAAATTAGATTTTAAAAAGCCGGCCGCACGCGTGGACTGCGCGATGACATATGGCGTCATTCGTCCCCTTGACTTTATTTTAATGATGCCATATGGTGTCGCTCGGCTCTTAAAGGTTAATCTATCTATACATATTCATAAAACACTAAGGTGTGTTTCTGGACTTTGCCACTTGCATGCAGCAAGCCAGCTGGTTTTGTGTGGCCCACAAGAGCATTCCTCCATCCACCAAAAATGTGTTAATGCCCTCTTCTATAACCATTCAGTATGGTAACATTTCAAACCTGTCCAGAGCCTGATGGGGGATGTGTTTCTACCAGATATTTAATTTTTCCAAGAAGCAGCTAGAAAATCAACAGCTTTTTAAATGACCACAAAGTCCATATTTTTTACTGGGTTTGAATGCAATTTTGACTGCATGGATTTCCACAGAATTTGTATACTATATAAGTGGAACAATCCATGTACTTATTTTACTAACAAAAGATTTAACATGAGTGAAGAAAATTACAAATTTTCAGTCACATTACCTTAGAAATTCGTATTTGGTAGGGTGCACTTCAAAACATCCATAAAGAAGGCCAGTTCAGAACTGGGGCATTAGTACATTGTTTCTTATCTTTTGCTATGTTTCTTGCATACAGCCCAACATTTTATGGGTTCCGATGTCCTTTGAACTGAAGTATTCTTCATGGGAAATGCCAGCATTGCTACTGTGTTGTCATCTGCATGGAGTCTTGTCACTTCGATTTCCTTATAATATTTTACTAACAAACCCTGAACTAAAACAACTCAGAATGTTCGATAGCCTACCTTTCTGTCTGTCTACTGTCACTTCACTCAATAGACATATTTAGCAGTCTACAGAAGAGCTTAATGCAAAAGGTAAAGTAAAGTTGTCCCTGTGCTTAACTAATTAAGCACTATGCCATGAAGGCATATGGGAAAGTGGATGTACAGATCCACATTTTCTTGACCTCAGCACTAGCTGGTGGTGAGTGGTCAGCTTCATGCCCCAGCCACTTTACCCCATGCGAAAGAGCCCCTAGTACCAATTATATTGGAGGTTGTGTGAACCCCAGAGCCGGTCTGGATGATGGGGAGAAGAGAAAATTCTTGACCCTATTGGAACTCGAACTCTGATCCCTCAGTTGTCAAGCCTGCAGCCAGTCATTATACTGACTGCGGTAACCTGGCTCCAAAGAGCTTCATATACTACTTACTAATTTTCTTGCCTTCAATAAGGTTATGTCTATAACAGCTGACCTTTCTTCTCAGTACCTCTCCCATAAATTTGGTGTAGTCTATAAAAACAGTGCCTTTTGTACTTGCTGACCTCACTTCATGCTGACTGGTCATTTCACTTATGTGAAATGAAGATATCACTGGTGCAGTCCTTGTATCATTTTACTTGATGACTGATGCAGGTCCAGTGTGTTATACAACGATCACTTGTCTTTAGCTTTTGCTCCTTCACTTCTGAAGGTACATTCTTCCTGTATAGTTACAGAATCCCTGCACAATCAGTCTTCTATGCCTTTAGTAATTTTGCCAAATCTGGGGAACTGTATATGTTGAACCCAAATAATACATCCTTTACAAAGCAAGGATTCTGCTAACTCCACCAGGAAAGCAGTTCTATTCATGTGACTGCAGCTCTGAGGGGACTGCATTACCATATCCTTCTCTATGTGGACAATGACAACACACACACATTACCAGACATACACAATTCAAAGGGTCTTCTACCAAACTGTGAGGACTCCAGAGGGAGGTATCGCCTGATATGAAGACGTCCTTTCCACAGGGTTAATGACTCATAACTGAAACATTCTAATGAGGAAGAGATAAGACTTCAAATTTGTAATTTAATTGGTCAATGACAGATTTATTTTGAAAAGTTCTGGGTGACCTTCATACTTCTCTTAAGTGCTGCTGTCTGTGAAATGTAAGAGCCTGCAAACTGTTTTGAATCAATCACAGAAATGACCATCAAATACGGGTGTGGGTATCAGCTGATTAAGTAAAAATATATTCCCAAGCTTGGCTTCTCAGTAATGCACATTAGCACAAACAAGGCTAGAATGAGGCACACTTCATCTTCCATAAACAGTCTCCATATATGCACACTTGCCTTCAGAACTTTCATATTGCTATGCATAGTCATATGTTTCTGCTGCAATTTGTCCAAAATATTGCCTGCTACAAAAATATAGTTCAAATTTCCACAATTTCAGTCACACCCTGGAGGTATATTACCTCCTACAAATCATGTCTTCCCATATATAGGAATCTGTACTAACACTCCAGTGTTTCATTGACTGTTATTAATTCCAAGGGTAGTAGTCATCCAGATAGAGAGGAAAGTCTCCTGACTGTGCACATCCCCTATGTGGAGGGTATTTCAGAAAAGTTCAAATGTATGGGGAATCATTACATTAGTACCATCTTCAAAATTAAACACACTCTTAGGTATTCACTCATGAGAACCAGACCCCAAAGAGATCTGCAACAAACGGTATACTGCCTCTAAAGCATTCTCTGTATATATGACAGATGCTACATTGGTAAAACTGGGAGACCACTAGTTGTGCAGTTCTGCGAACATAAGCACAATCTCAGAGATGATCTTCAAGAAATCAAAATTAGCCCAACATGCCTATGAAGGACATCATCAGGTGGGCTAGGATGAAGCTAAAATTCTGGAAACTGAAAGTAATAGCAGGTATATAAATATAAGCAATCAGCTCATATGGCATATATAAAATCAATATGATAAGCCAACACCGCTTGGATTTTGATCCCATATGGTTTCCTCTCTTCAGCAATGAGGTTAGCAACTCATAGGAAAGATCAGGATTAAAGGATCCTTCAGGGGTATGTATTGAGTCCAATGGCTCAATTTTTGTTCCACCGCTACAATTGGAACGGACACTTCCATGATAACAAATACATGGAAACTGTGGAGAGAGACAAATAGTAGCAACAAACTGTCGTTGAGTAACAACGGATGAGACGAAACACATTACCAGTGTAATCTATAAGGAATGTTCCCGTAACAATTGACTGCCTGAACAGCGGTAAAGGAACCACGAGAAATAATGTCCGGTATCTGGTCCACATAACCCCTATATAAGCAGAGCTTACGACACGTATAGGGCATTGAGTATTGAGAACGAGACAATCTTGGGAATATTGTCACCAGAGACAGTTGAGATCCAGCCACGGCCAAGGACAGTTGAGACGTCGCATGAGAGTATTGGGCCAGAAGTCAAGCGACTTTACAAGTGGTAATAATTGTAAGGTGTGTAAGAGTGAGTGTTCAATAAAGATTCGCTAAATACGACACCCACATAAAGTTATTTGTCACGTAACATACCCAACATGTGACAATATTATTATAACATGAAGATTTTACAATTATTCATGTGCATTTGTGTTTATGAATTTGGTTTTCTGCATTTATTTTCCACTTTCTTTTCTATCCTGGTTTCAGGTCTGTATATGCTTCATCCCAATTTTTATTGTTCCTCTTATATCCTGCTGACAATGCCTGATCTTGGGTGTTATAACTGTAGTTATGAGGACATAGGTTGCCCAGGACTGAGGTTAGCTCTTTCTACTGGAACCTGAAAGAACAGATGTCTCCCACCCCTTCATGTGTGGATGGAAACAGACCGTTTCCAAAATGCTGTTCTTTAGAACAGTGGCTGGATGAAGTCCAAAAACCCAATAATCCAAACACATATGGACTTTTATAAAGACACTTCATGAAAGAAAAATTATGTTAAAAAAGTGAATCACCATTTTTAGATGAGCAGCATATGTCTAGAACTACCCAGCTCATAAAATATGACAGATTATTGACAAGCATATAATCACTTACTTCTTGGTATTCTGCCAGTTCTTCTTTTAAATCATCCAACTCCATTTCAACCAAAATCTTTTTATCCTTACTCAAAGTATCCAATGCATCCTCAAGTGCTTCAAAGTCTGTGGCTGTCAGCTCCTACAAGGAGAAATAGCAATCAACCAAGTCAGTTGTATGATTAAAACAGGGCGATGAGATGGATTGGACACGTAAATTTTCTTCGGGGCAGGAAATATGTATTACAAATTTTGGGCATATATTCTCCTTGAACAGAAGAACACAGGCCATTTAGTTCATGTTCTTCCTGCTTCTATTGGACTCTCCTGATGGCAGATTCTATATCTTGCCTCAATAAGTCAGAGAAGTAAAGCAAACAATCACTCCTATCGCCCTCCACTAAGACACATGACCATAAACATTTGGCAGTCATGACACCATTAACTGTGAAAATATTGATCTCCTTACAAAACATGTGATGCCTACATGAATGTAATTAACATTAATAAACACCACATAAAATACAAACCGGAAATGAATTAATGTGTAGAGTTCTATCATCTGGGATATAATGCTGTGTAATTTCTTGCTTAGCTTATTCTATTTTGACCTCCTCAGTGAGTGGTGCCCACTAGTGATTCTGTTCCACAAACTTCAAGCCCAAAACGTTAAAAAGCCTGTAGAGCCTTGAATGAAAAATATTTGGCAAATCATTATCACTGTTCACTCTTGCCAATACTTTATTCTGAGTTAGAATTTCATTCTTGAAAAAAAAATTATGCACTTCTTTCACAAACGGAAGTTTTCATAAAGCTGTTATATTTTTCACTCTGCTTTTTTGATATCTAGATTTTGTTTGAAGGAACTAGTTTTCCATCACCTTCCAGTTATTTCCTAGAAAAGTACATGCTAGATTTAGATATTCCAGATGCATAAGCCACTACATCTGTCCCTTCATCAAGTGTAATATGAGGATTATCTTCACTACTTTCTATAAAGACATTTAACACACCTTTTTCTGCACTTGTCAGTGGCTTTCCTGTCTTAGGTTTCATTAGAGAAATACCTGGTTCAACCACGGTTTTAAACTAATACACATTTACACAACAACAACAACAACAAAGAAATTACACACTTAAAAGTAACTCATACAGTACATAACTGAAGACAATAATTATGAGTGGTTTCTATTGTTTTCACATGAAAGAATAAGCAAACATGCAAAACTAATGAAAAATATATAAGCACTATCACATGAGTATCACATGTTAATGCAACTGAAAACATAGATGGGGCTCAGTTCCAGGCACAGCCAACATGTCATTCTGACAACTAGTGTGCTTTCCCATGTTTAGGATACATTTTATAATATTTATGTATAAATATGCTGCATATAAGCAGTCTCATGAGGCATTTACCAACAATAGACAAAACTATAATGCATTTCCTTGTTTGTCACTCTTCCACAAAAAGCTGTTAAGACGAAAAGCATCTGTGCAGGTTTCAATTAAAGGGCTATAAGCTTCCATTATATCTTCTCTACCCTCCCTCACCAAGTTCTTTACTTCATCTCTCAGACTAAACGAGACAAATCATATGGCGAAATTAATGGAGCATTGACCATAAATAATCAGCTTATTTTAATCCACTGCAAACTGGAAATGTTTAAGAAAAATTTACCTACATAAGGTTCACCAGATAATTCATGCACATGTTTAATTAACCCCCCCCGGTGATGCAAGCTCCGTCTTCAGTGCAAACCATATATTATAGGTCTTTCGTTTTGCTCTCCTTTACACACTACATGTTTCGGCCACAAATGGCCATCATCAGGTGTATTACTCGCGTATCTGTCACACTGCACTTAGTTTAACATTTAAAATTTAAAAACATAGGTCTTNATCTTTACTACATATACAAGAAACAAGAAGTAGCCACTGCAGCACTATAAACATAGGGCGAGTAACCCTGACAATTTTAAATTTTAAAATTTAGAGGAAAATTGAAAAGATTTTAAAATTAGAACTGAAGATTTTATAAGTGCTAATTCAGAGAAATCAAAATTGATGTGTGTAAATAACAAAGATATCAATGAAGTAGATTTTGGTAATAATGACGAAAGGAACAATCAGGAAGACCTGTGTTTTTAAATTTTAAATGTTAAACTAAGTGCAGTGTGACAGATACGCGAGTAATACACCTGATGATGGCCGTTTGTGGCCGAAACATGTAGTGTGTAAAGGAGAGCAAAACGAAAGACCTACTCGTATAATATATGGTTTGCACTGAAGAGGGAGCTTGTATCATGTATCGTATGGAGTGCTACAGGATGCTTAAATATAATATTTCATTTTTATTTGCAAGAAAAGTGTTGCGATAACTGTTCCCAAGCAAAATGATAAATAAGTAAGTCTGAAGAGACATCATATAACAGAATGAGTTTTGATATCAAAACTGAGCAAACAGTTTACAATACGGACAACCAACTAGCCAAGAATTATATCAACTGAAGAGAAACAACTGTAAGTTGAGGAAGAAAATGATACAAACCTCTTTCTTTCTGCTGTCATCTTTAACTGGCTGCTCCTCAGCTGAAGTAATATGAAGAATTTCAGGTTGAATTCCAACATCTTGAGTGATAATAGGAGCCTTGTCCACAAGTATTTCCTTTTCTTCCTATGAGAAAATTTTTAAACAGTTTTACAGCAGTGAAATGGTGATACTGTTTCATACAAATCTATGTTAAGATATAGACAGCAAATATTACACAGTACAGGTGATATCATCATGAAAATAATTTGTAAAAAGGTAGGGGTAAAGCTATCCCTGTAACAGGACATGGAAGCCCTTAGGGTTGTGATGTGTCGAGTCTCCCACATTTTCTAGAAAATCGGCTCACAGATGGCAGTGAGGCTGTCAGCCTTATGCACCATCCGCCCTTTACTCCCCAGGAAGATTCCTATTACTCAAAGTAATAATAACTCAATTTAATTTGACACATATATTAGATATAAATGCTATGCATACACTTCCAAGGACGAGTGTAGAATGCTACATACACAACTCCAAAGTGAGTGTGGATGTTTCTACACATATTAATGAAACCGTGAGAGAGAAACTTTCTTATTGTAAGGTAAAGGTAAAGCTGTCCCTGTGCTTAACCAATTACGCACTACACCATAAAGGCATATGGGAAAGTGGATGTACAGATCCACATTTTCTTGACCTGGGCACTAGCTGGTGGTGAGTCGGCACCTTCACGCTCTTGCCGCTTTACCTCCGGGGAAAGAGCCCCCATACCCATTGGATAGGAGGCTGGGTGGGCCCCAGAGCTGGACTGGACAATATACAGAAGAGAAAATTCTGGCCCTACTGGGACTCGAACTCCAACCTCTCGGTCATCCAGTCCTTAGGAATTCGCTATACTGACTGCACTACCTGGGCTCTAAAAAATTAAGCCTTGCTAAGTGTGAGTGCAGGAAAATTGGAACTACAAGTATATAACACATATATATGTGTATTTCATTAGCATGATTTCCTTACCTGATGAGAAAAGATAGGTTCGTGGTAGCATAGTGTGCATGTTATTCCTCCTTACCCTTAATAAGTTTCAGTATCACTGGTGGCTGCGCCACAGCTCAAGCGGTTAGTTGCTGGCTTCCCACCGTGGCGGCCCGGGTTCGATCCTGGGTCTGGTCAAGTGGGATTTGTGGTGGACAAAGTGGCACAGGGTAGGCTTTTCTCCGAGTACTTCGGTTTCCCTTGCCAATCTTCATTCTACCAAAATTCTCCATCATCATAATCACCCGGGGCAGGTACGATAGGCCAATCAGTGGCCGCTGTGATGAATGGACCCAGTTACGACTCCACCCCCCCACTAAGCGAATCAAAATTAATTAATTCAGCTTCACTGACTTTTATGACATTTCATACAAATATAGCACTAGAACCTATCTCACATTTGTATTCTTAATTATTAACCACCAATAACACAGATGCTGAAAGAGTGTGAATTTCTGAAGTAGATGCAATGGCAACATCACTTAGCATATGGGTTTGTGTGATTACAAAGCATCAACATGCATAGAAGGTATTTTGTAATACATCCATTATGTAGGCCGCATACCAGCACGTGTCAAGACATGTAACAGTCAAGACAAAATGGCTGCTACACGACATAAAGAAAGCACAGTTAAATGAATGAGAGTATGAAAACCACTGCACACCGGTCTGGGTCATGATGCTGACATTCATTTCACTGACATCTAAACAGGATGGAATACATGAAATCCTACTGACCCTCTCGATCTCCTTCTTTTCCTCTTCTTTCTCTTCTTGATCTTCCTCGCGAATTTTACGTACTTCCTCCTTAATGATTTCAATCTTTGTCTTATTGTCTATCTTGCCCTCACGTTCTCCAATGGCCGCCTTTGTCTGGGTCACCTTGTAACACAAGAAGATCAATGGGTCACAAAAGAAAACACAAATAGAAACTTCTTTATAATAAATAAATACCTTCACAAAACAACCATAAACATGCATTTTTAAGACACTGTACTGAAATACATATCTGTACTGCATCACATATGTATGCTCTACATTAAAGTTGAACTTACTGAAAATTAAATGTTCCTGATTCCTGACAGTAGAATGAAGGTCCTGTTCTGATATATACTTGGTTCTGTCCGAAGTACCAGATGCTGGCACAGATTAAATTTTCATTGCAAATTATAAAGAGAAGAAGATCAAAACCATTATTCTTTACATGAAAGTGTGTGCAAGCAAGACAGAATTTAACATAATTGTTAAGCTCAGCAAAGAAGACCCTTGGAAGAGAATATAAGCTTTTCAGTTTTAACATACTAGAATTTTGCTTTGTTTTCTTGATCAGTCAAGAATCCATACATTCCCCAATACAACTGATGCCAAGTTTTTTTGAGGATGTCTTGTTTCTGCAAGCCTATGTGTTCTAATATTTCCAACCCCAAGTAAGCATCTGACTCTCTGACAGTGCTCACCATTTTGAAGAAAAGCAAAACATGATTGGATATTCTCTGCTAGTGGTTCTCAATAGGGGTCATCCTGTATTTCAAAGGGGCCACAGGGAAAAGTTGGAAAAATGGAGGGCCAGAAAGTTGCTAAGTGGGCCAGAAAATTTCACTTCTGATATAAAATTAATAATAATATAAAAAGAAACAAAAATACCAAATGGTCAATGCATACAATAAAAACTCAATATCCTTGTTTCCGTGTACCATACTGAGAAGGAACAGAACCTATTGTACTTAAACTACAACCTTAGATCTGGGAATTCAAAGTATTGGTAAACAGGTATTCGCCTTCTTAGAGCAGGCAAAGCCCTAGTGAAATGGTTAACTGGAAACATGACAATTTATTTCCCTAAATATCTCCCACTCCTCTCATGAGTTTTACCACCACATTCTCAGTAAATTTCAGGTGTCCTTCAGTTTAGTATTTGGAGTGTCTGGAAGAAGACATTTTTTCTGCATAAGTTCTATTATTGTGGCTGTTCCCTATTTTGCAGGAAAGCTACAAACTCCAGCCACTATTTTTCAACAACTAAGCATTATATTTCACAATAACTTGAACTTTCATTACACACAAATTATTAGCTTTCAATAGAATTTGAATACCCTTCCTCTGCAAAAGAAAAAATATGTGTATTACAGCAGAATGGCTTCCAGAGTAATTTCGATGAATATTAACTTCCAAATTTTTCCACATCTTTAAAAAATTTAGAAATAGGACAGTCATAAATTTTAAAAATTAATTAATATTCTTTATATTATTAACAAACAATACATGTTAATAATAAAAGTGCAATTGATAAGGTACATATTTATTACAAATATTACATTTATTATAATTAAACAATATGAGAGGTGGGGGCCACAGAAGTGAACGAAACTCAGAAGCAAACCACAAGCAAAAGAAAAAAATTGAGAACCACTGTTCCATGTGATGGACGTCCACTGACATAAGAACAAGTGTGTAACACAGAAAGAACACTTGAATACCATGCTCTTGAAGTGTTTTTAGCATGAATGCGTGACTACTTTACCAGTCAATGGAGCAATCAATGGTCAAGGCAGAATCCAACCATTTTACAGCATGTTCAAAGATCAAGAACTTTCCATGTTTTAAAGCATGATTTTACCGTTTAAAAACAATAAAAAGCATTAGTATGCATAGTGTGTCAGGTGGCTCTACTGTGTTCAGTAACAGTCCATAAAACAGCACAAATGTACACACACTCACAAGTCAGTTCAACCTAGTTTCATGAAAGGCAAGCTAACAGCAAATAATGGACAGGACTTTTGCTTGCAAAGGGCAGCTACTAATGAGCAGTTGGTTGTGAACACAAGAGGTTATGTAAGTATGAAGAAATCTTCTAACTTCTCAGTTCAGGTGAGGCTACAAACACTAAGAATGTTGAATTATTATTTTCACATCTCTATAATCAGTTCCAGAAAGAACACTTACTGATGAAACATACATTAAAAAGGTTTTACACTTTGGTGCCATGTTGCAATATTCACAAAATTAGAAGTTTGCAATACATACTTACAATAGTATCAGGTAGAACATAAATCGTAGCCTTGAGCTGATCACTTGTTGGGATTCTATCTGGAAGAAGCAGTGCTCTTGACAGCAACAGCAGTGAAGGAGGAACTTTCTTTTCAAGGCTCAGGTCAAGCCACTGTGCTAGTTGAGTTCTGAGTGCATCCTCAGACATACCATATGCTCTCATACCTCTTGCTCTACATGCCTGTTGGAGCTCTGCTGGGGTGAGCGATTCTATGCCCTCCTTTAGTATTACCTGAAATGAGAGAAAACACTTTCATCCTCCTCTGTCCTCTTCATTCATTTCTCTCTCAGAAAATATATATAAAAACACTCAGCTAATGAAAAATCAAGAGAAGCAGAAAAGTTTAGTTATTGAAAAACTACGGTCTTTTACACCAATGATTCAGCAACTTCTCGTCAGAATATACAACAAAAAGATCAAACATAGCAATTCTGGAATGGTCTTAGCTGCCAAAAATGCACTGCATTGCTACTGAGATTATAAGGATGTAAAATACAGATATCTTCAATTCTAAAATTACTTTAAAAGTTTTCTGACGTTCTGAAATAGGATTCAAATGCCTCAGATGGTAGAAACTGAGTTATATTGTTCAAAATTTAGGATGGGAAAGAAAGGGTCAGTGCATACATGGGGTGATCAATTAATTTCCAGAATAATCACAATACACCACTGCAGTTATGGCAAAACTCCTCTGAGAAAAGTCTGTGTATCATTTCCCTTCACTTAAAAGTTGTACCTTGCATTGCTAAAAAGTAACTCCCTTCGAAGTGAGATGTTGTTAAGTAATCATTTAATTACAAAACACTAAGACCTGTCACAAATAAAATATTCAGCAATACAGAAACAGGGTGATTATGGTAGCCGCATGGTCTAAGACATGAACTGTCTTCGCATGCTCAAATGCTGGGATTGTGGGTTTGAATCCCACTTAAGGCATGGATGTCTGTGTGCATTTATTCTGTGTTGTCCTGCGTGTAGGTAGTGGCTTTGTGACAGGCTCATCACTCATCCAAGGAGTCCTAGCGTTTGTGTAAAGAGATCACAAAACTGAAGAAGAGGCCAGGGTCAAAAAAAGGGCTGTAGAGCGATGATGAATGAATGAGTACAGAGAAAGACTTCATAAGGTACAAATTAATATGACATAATGTTAATATACTCTGGGGGTTTGTGAATCCAGTTTCACAACTGTATATTTGTTCACAGATCCAATATTGCTACAACCAAGAACTTACTCTACCACTGAAGCACAATGTAATATGAAATAAACTCACACATATAATTGACCATCCATTCTTACCGCCATATTTACACGTTTATACTACATATATAGTAATTACTTTTTATTACATGCTAATAATAATGCTTTTATTCTAATTATGCATTATCTAACTCACGAGGTAGACACTATGTAGAGAGTTGTTTAACATGACACAACATTTCACAAAGTTTTAAGCGTTGGAGTATTTCTCTGTCTGTGGAAACGCTTCGTTATATAGAACATTCTAGAAGGAATGGATGATGTAATGCGGCTGCATCTATGGTGTGATTGGCTGAGATTTGTAACCTGGGTATTCAACGTGGAATGATAGTGAATCACACCACAGCAGGCTGTGCTTTGCATCATGGCAGTATTTTAATGCCACATCATGTAACTCTCCGTAGTGTGAAAAGTCACTTTGTAATTGTCAGCTAAGCAGGACATAAGTCTGCGCTCCTCTTCCGAGGACCAAAACAAAGATGTTAGCAAATTCGGCGGTTTATAAAGTGTGAATTTAAGTGAAATCCATGTAATGCAAATATATATATATCAATAAAGTTATTATCATTTAATTGACTTGTGTGTTGAAAGTAACTGTTCCTCCACCTGCCAGAACAAGGCCTGTGCAAGACTTTGAGAAAAGTCAAAAGCTGTCTTCACAATCAGTGTCTATGCAAAAAAATTATTAGTTCTTTCTAAGAGACCCAACTGCGTAGGTGTCTTCCTTTCTCACCTGAAGATGGAAACAGATCCAGTTTCTGAAACTTTATGTCCTCTATTACCAAAAATTCCAGATGATGGAAAAAGTCCAAAACCTCAGTAATTCTGTGTGTCATCCACCATCGTCAGAACCCTTTAAATTAAAACTGTTTAAACATGTACCTTGTCATCAGCTGCCAGACTTCTGAGCTTCATCCGAAGGTGAAATCTTAAAAAGTTATTTGTTCCAATTGGCTGTATCTCCAGTACTCGACACAGTGCTGTAAGTTGGGGTCGAGACAATGAATCTAAAGTAAGCTCATCCTCAAACAACTTTGAAAATTTCATTATTTCTTCATTGGTTGCTTGTTCTCCAGATGTGCGCACCTGTGAAAGTTCAAAACACTTTAATAACTTTATTTGCAGAGCCACATCATCCTAATTTAAAAAAACTCATTACAGCTTCATTTAGACATAATTATTAAACAATTAGGTGTAAATATCAAACTGAGAGCACTTACGTATAAGAAGAAGAAATTGTCTTAGACCAAATACATACACAAAAAACAGCAAGAAAATGAACATTAGTATCGCAATGGACTCTTACTTTTGACAACAATAAAATTACTGGTTGCCACAGCTCTAACATTTCACTGAAGATAATACATCTGTCAACAAATGCAAATCTCTTGCTTTGAAATCTTGGAGCTAATGTTAATCAAAACCCACGATGATTCCTGGATGAACTAACAAACTCTTCTGCATTAAAAATGCATCTCTGCCTTCTGTTATGTTTACAAGCAACACTTGGAAGTGCTTATTTGTTGTAAAGATTTTCCAAATTTAAGTCATAGTACATGAGCGTAACTCTTCCGAGAAATGATGAAATCCAGTGTAATACATTATTTCCTATTTAAAGAGATAAGAATCAAGGATATCAAAAAATAATATTGAACATTTCTTCTTTCAAGTGGCTTGGTCACAGAACTTACAGACTTCATATTTCTGCAAGAGAGTTATGTACAGAAGTAACAACATAAAATTAATGTCACTTACACTGAGCTTGGTATTATTGGCCATACCAAAACTAGACACAGATATGGTTCAACTAAATTAATTAACTCTGAATAAACAGAATAGAAATAAATAAAATAAATTATCATGATAAAATATAAATGTCACAAACAAGAAACATATTGTGCAATCTAAACTTAAATGTTTTTAATTTAACATTACTTACTAACTCATGGAATTGAGCCCTTTTGGAGTAGCTGCCAATTCTGCAGCTACTCAAGAATTTCCCAGCATTTTATGGAACCCAAGGTTAATTACCGTGTTCACAAGAGCCCTCCACTGGTCCCTACCCTGAGCCAGATCAATCCAATCCATACCATCCCATCCTATCTCTCTAAGATCCATTTTAATATTGTCCACCAACCTATGTCTTGATCTTCCCAGTGGTCTCTTTCCTTCTGGCTTTCCCACCAATATCCCATATGCATTCCTCATCTCCCCCATTCATGCTACATGCCCTGCCCACCTCATCCTCCTTGACTTGATCATTGTAATTATACTTGGAGAAGCGTACAAGTTAAGATTTAATTTAACATTATCTTTCAATTAACTATAAATTTCAGTGATCCCAAGTCAGTAATCTCAGGTGTTATCTGATATTCTTATAACACTGAATATGAAGATTACCATATTCTGGGATGTGACACCATGTAGTTTGGTATATAAGAATCAACGTTTTGAAGATAGCAGGCTCCTATAAAACACTGCTTCTTATCTACAAAACTACATGGTGTCACATTCCAGAAGACGGTAAAGAACTTCGTAGTTTAGAATATTTTTGTCTTTCTTAAAGCTGTACTAGGGAACTGTCATGATGGAATCTGATAAGCACATTTTGTCTGCATAATCAGTGGTGTTTACCTGCTGCTAGCAATTAAGCATTAATTATGTATGTAGCTATATGAGCTTCATAACATGTCACCATATAAATTTCTCATCTCAAGTGACAATAACTCATCAGTTATCACCAAAACTGGAACTTTATATGGCACCTCACCTTGACAAAGAATTCTGCAAACTCCTTGGCAGCTTCAGAGCTTCGTCCCTTGCCTTGAACAGCCATATCATCCAAAGTTTGCTGGAGAAATTTTGCCATTTCTAGTTTTACTTTAAGGGATTGCTTCATCTTTTCATCCTGAAATTAGAAATGATGCACATCAATATAAACATGATTACACTGATCTAATAAAAGTTATCAGAATTCTCATTCACGCTAATTGAACTTACTTTCTCAGTTGCAGTCTGAAAAGTAGACGGAAGCATTCCCGGAAACAATTTAATTGCCAGAGGAAGCAGCAATTCCATAAATGGAACAATGATGAACACTGAGAAAGGGACTAATCGAAATAAATCCGACACTGTCCGCACCAACTAAACAAAAAGAAATTAAAATCAATACCAATGACCAAAATGTGGGTGCAACATTGCATACCAAATCTCACTCACCATTGTTAAACAGTTTATGAGAGGAAATATGTAGCCAGACATATGGGCTGCTACATACAGTGTCTAGCATAAAGAATACCAAGATTTCAAGCACCTGTAGCTTAGGAATGAAAACAGATATGATGGTGCTATTTGCAGTATTTTATTCATAAAATGAAGGTTTATTTTACACATAAGTGGAAAAGTTTATTTTTAGTCAAACAATATTTCACAGAAAATCCAAATTGAACAATGACTCAATAATGGGCCATCAAAATTATGGGTATGTATGTGGAGAGTGTTTCCACACAGGGCATGGATGTTTAGTTTGTGTGTGTGTGCGTTTGTCTGTGTTTGTGTACAGGTAGAGGCCTTGCGACAAACTGATCACCTGCCCAAGGAGTCCTACCGAATGTGTAAGATCTAGAAAAACCGAAGTGAACGGAGAAGTTCATGGAGGTAGGCCTAGGCCCACTGGGGCTGTAGTGCCAAGGAAAACAATGTGGAGTGTATGTGGTCATTTTGCATTATTAAAAGACCTGTGAAACTGTATGATTATGAAATCCGAATACAGGTTAGACTGAGCTGTCTTCGAATAGAGAGATGTCACCTGAGGTCTTCCTAGAAATCCTTCAGCCATGTAGATGAATGGGGCAAAGGAACTCAATACCATAATCACAACTGCCAGGCATAAATGGCAGAAGAAGGAACAAATAATGGGATTCTATAACAGAATAAAGACAATAAAATCCAGAGTAACACAGAACAAACAAGTAAAAAAGAAAAATGGTCCCCTTTTATATACTCAGGTAATACATATGGACTATATAGAACTGCTCAATAACATGTAAATAAAAACAGCCTTCAGAACAAATAACATGATTAAAAATTTACTTTATATGACATCTGGCACTGATGCATATGAAAATACAGAAATTTACTACTTAACTACTTAGACTGGGCTAAATTATGCAGAGTACAAACCTGATGATCACTACATATTAGACACAACCAACATACACGTAATATAAAAAATAATGGAGAAGATTCAGGCTATGCAACTGATGTACTAAACAACAGCCATCAATACAAAAATAGAGGTCACTGAAAGAGCTACTGCAAGAAGTGGCTCAATTATGAACATAAAAAGAGCAAATGCCGTCGTGAATGCAACAATTTATTTGGTGTAGATCTTTGTCTTTTCTACCTCTACACTACATGTTTCGGCCGTAATTGGCCATCATCAGGTGTATTTTTCACTATGTAGCCGTCACATTGCACACAGTCCAAAATCTAAAACATCAGCCTGTCTGTTTTGTTTAAAATCTTGCCAAAAGTATTAAAGATGAGCAGCGACACACACACACTGGGAGCCTGCATATAATAATACATGAACGGTGCTGGAAACAAGAAATAGCCGCTGCAGCACATGTAGACAAGAGCAGGTGTCCCTGGTATTTATAACTTTAAATTTTAAACTGTAATTCTAAAATCAAATTGACGAGCGTGTGTTGGCAAGATTTTAAAACAAAACTGACAGGCTGATGTTTTAGATTTTGGCCTGTGTGCAATGTGACAGCTACGCAGTGAAAAATACACCTGATGATGGCCAATTATGGCCGAAACATGTAGTGTAGAGGAAGAGAAGACAAAGATCTACAACCAAATAAATTGTTGCATTCACGACAGCATTTGTATTATTACATGTAGAAGTGTATAGTGCAACAGGATGCTTAAATATAATATAATAAAAAGAGCATTTCTACACCTGGATATACAAAAAATCAAACTTCTTACCAGAAAATTAAAATCTGAGGAACAGAATAATCTCTTTAACGTAGCATTAAATCTCTGGAGACATGCCAAGTACTAGGTGCTTTCCATCTATTTCATGAAGTATTTTGTCACCAAAACCAGATCTGAGGCTGAACTCTTAGTAATTAAAATCAAGAATGCATTTTGGGGGTTACTGCAATCATTAAAAAAAAATTATGGTGGCTAAATAAGGACAGCAGTGTGGTATTAATCATGTGACAGTCTATGGCACTTATATGTTCAATTGTTCAACAACAATCAGCTTTGCCAACTCCTCCTCCATCTGTTTTACTGAGACGTTACTGTTCCTACTCTTGTCCAAAATGCAGAAAATTATATACAAACTTACTCTGATGAGATTACTGCTCCCACACATTGCACACAGTAACAAGAATATGGTATATTACTTGCTCCTAAGTGTGGGGTTTACCAATATCAGTGCTTATGATGGTAACAAATACTGGTAGCTTATGCATGCTTAGTTTTAAACCACTGGATTTGTGGTTCTCATGATAAAATCTATCTTCTGGATGCAACCCCTCATAGCACAGAATAAGTCAACTTAAATTTTGGAGGAACACATCATCTCCATCTTCTGGGTCAAAAAGAAGGAAACAAGCACAGCCACTTCCTCTGAAATGTCGGCTGACTTACCAGACTACATAGCATTACTTCCTGCAAGTTAGAACTCTTCTTAGTTTACTGTCATTTATGTTACTTCTTTCAATGTGTTGGGATATTTACTCACATATGTTTCCAATGCTCTTCATGTCATTGTACACTCAGCCTGTGTAGTGCAATACACATTGCAAAGGTCAACATAGTGAGGTCCAGGAATCATTTAGTAATAAACATTTTGGGGAATAATTAAAGCTATTAATTATCAACAACAGTTGGGCTTGTTAAGCAAGAAGTATAAATGTCTCCAGTGACAGCAGAACATAAACATGTACAATAACTGAACAGGGGTGACAGACATGAGTGTGAGTAAATGAATATATGTATTTATTTACACCCTAATATTGCACCTTTCACAATATATTCCATTCTGCAAGGAGCTTTAAGTAATTCTTCTATTATCATTATTTTGCCTTTTGCATTTCCAGAGCCTTTCACTCTCTTTCAATCCATATTACCGGTTCCAAGGCATTGGTACTGACATTAGCTATTAAGTCATGCAACCAGAAACATAAGCAGTATTCAACATGTGCTACACAGGAACGGAGAAAGACACTTCTACCTTGTTATAAATTTTTACTTAACAATCAGCTAATGATCATAACAGCTTCCATAGTCAGCAATTTTTCAATTACAGAATGAAAGTAACAGTATAACATATGTTATAGCAACTACTTACCCAGTACTCAGTTAAGAAGTTTTTAAAATTCCTGACTAGAAAATTAAGTAATTTTATATTTACCAGTCTATGCTCTCGTCTAGTAAGGGACTTCCCATTCATAACTCTCCATACCAATTTCCTTGATACATTAATATCAATAAATAGAAGACGAAATCCATGATAATAGTGCAGTGCTTCATCAACAATCTTCTTCTTAATTCTTTTGAGAAGTGGAGGTTTGTCTGCCACAACGTGAACAGAAGGTTTATCTTTTAGATCTTCTTTTAAGGCTTGAACTGTTTCTTCAACTTTGGATGAGGGTTTTAAAGGTTCTTTGTCATACAACTGATGTCCAACATACATATGTCTCACAACTACCATGCAACTGCCCGAGGGGTAGAATGGAAATAATGTACTGTCCTTTACAAAACTGTCTGACGAATGTATTACGTTAAGCCGAATAACATTCTGCAAAGTCCCATAACCGCTGCTACTTGTTCTGACAATGGTGGACAGCAGTCGAGGTAATACTTGGTTTGGCCTATACAGTCGTTTACTATGTCCGTAAACATGCTTATTACTCCACTGCTGACATTTACACCCAACTGAAAGAAAGACAGGAACCACTTTAGAGTCAAATTTCAAACAAATATAATACATTCATCAGTTCTATATTTACGAGATATAAAAATACTATATGATCGATGCTACATTTCAGTCAAACACAATGTTACATTTACCTCTAGCAAAACTTTTCGTTTTCACAGCTATCGATTTATGAGTGCTAAGGAATGAATGCATCTTTATTGACTATACAATATACCAAACTCAAGAGTCGGCCATTACACATGTTACAACACCGCTGCAATTAGTTTCGATATATGACCGATTCGAGGATCGAACAATTCAAATGAAATTTCCGATGACTGTACTTCGTCCGATCCGCCGTGTTGCCATAGTTCATCATTCGCGTTTACGTGCTTATTCTCTTTGCTCATCAGTTCCTCGTATTAAGATTTTTCGAAAATATTTACCAATATTTTGAAATCACAGTAGAGACGTTTCAATTACACACGTCATCGTAATTAAATTTACATTTTTTCTTTGTGGTATACAACTTTGATCAAAATTCAGTTGTTTTTTTTTTTTTGCTTTCATTTTAGAATCTATACAGATTGCTATTCACGTGGCTAGAAGGCCAAACTTACTGTGACGTTCGTATGACGTCAATGAGTTGTTTCTAGGAAGGAGAATAGCTATATTTTCGGTTGATGATGAGTTTGTTTATTTCCTTTCTAAAAGAAGAAAATTGCAATGATAAGCGAATCAAATTAACCTGTTACTCTAAAATCTATACCTTCTCTATTCTACCTATATGGATAAGGTCCTTTGAAGTGTGCATGCATATGCTGCTCTATGATATTCCAGCACAAACATCTTGATCTATTTCAGATTCTCCTTCTAGGACTTAATGTAGAGGTGGGACGATAGATCATAACAAATCCTCTTATTGGTGGACAATGAGTGTCCGTGTTCATGATTGGTCAAGGTGCTAGTCGATTGATCGTGCTCATGTGACCTTTGAGTAATTTCTACTGTGTGCGTAGAGTAAGTTTGCATATTTGAGTGTTTACTCATCCCAGGAAAAGGAAAATAAACGGTTGAGGAATGTAATATCCATTTAAATACACACTGTTGATAAATTAAAGTTACAGGATAAAGTGTCCCTCAATTGTAAGCAAGTAAGAACAATTTTTAGTGGCGTTATGTGAATCTGATAAGTCATGGTCTTGTTGTCCTACAGTGATGAGTGATTAGCGCGGGAAACTACTAGCGCACAGTGGTTTATGCTGTCCGAGGTAAGGCACAACGAAGTTTCGGAATAAGTGGAATGCCATGTTGGGATATTATGAACATCTGTCATTAAATCCATCAGTAAACTCTGCAAATACGATTATCGACAAAATAAAGGCCTTTTTTAATGTTTGAAGTCAGTATTATAATGTTCATCCTAGGTGGTTTGTTTATCATCGTGCATCGTGTTGTGCAATCAAAACAAGTTCGAGTTAATGATGCGTGAATTCTACATTTTTCACGTTACATATGTAGCATTTATCACACTTCTAGTAGTAAATAAAAATAGTGAATAGTTATTGTTATAGAACATATGTTACCTGTACGTTATAACTTTTAAAAAGATCCAATGAATTTGACGAACTCCAGTCAGCTACAGTTGAAATCTCATGCCTGTATCCTTGCCACGGTTATAAATAGGTCCAAGGACAGCAGTTGGAATAGGCCATATCACATGTGCTGGTGTTTTGTCAGCATCATAATTTCCCATGACATACTGAATCCGAAGATGTAATTGCCTTAACATCGCACAGTGAATTGTATAAGAAATACTGGAAGCTATTATACTTGGTTCTATGTTACAGAGAAACAAATGTCAGCTCATTAAGGTGACAGACCTACAAAATTAACAGAAACATGGCTGATCCTGTATATTCAGGAGATTTTTTCCTGGATCCAGGATTTACAGTGAAGCAAGAACCAGTTTCAATGGACACGAGCAGCTGCATGACAGCAAGTATGCCGATTCCCCCTCGAAAAATGATGGATCTTTCTGAACTGAGGGATTTCGGTTATGAATTCCTTGATGTATCTTCATCGCCATCAACTTCTCGTGATACTGGCACAGTCACTGCAGTAGCGCTCCAAGGTTCGTCAGGTTTATACCAAACAATATCAGGCTCATCAGGGTGGGAGTCACGGTTAAATACAGAAAGTGAGCTAAATAGAAGTGACACATTCCGTATGGATGATGATGATATCTTCCAGGTTGACAAAGCTGACTTGATACAAGGCCCTACATTGGCAGAACTGAATGCTAATGATGAGAATTTGCTTGAAGATTTGAACTTTGATGATCTTCTGCTGCCAGAGGAAAACAGCTACTATATCAGTGTGCCAACAGTAGCATCACATTCGAGACATGCTGCTACAAATGTACCACCATTAGTGCAAGTCACTAACACAAACTCCAATGCATTCAATAATAACAGTAATAGCCAGAACTCAAGCATCTTTACCCCATCATCCTTTCCACCAGTTAGTCTTAGTTTCTACAAAGATTCATTTGCTGCGTCTTCTAGTGTACCATCTAGCCCTATGGACCCTTTTGTTGGCAAGATGAATAGCAGTAGTGCTGGAACATGTTCTGATGCTCTCTCCCCAGCAAGTCACCATAGTTCAAGTTCCTCACTTTTACTTCACTCAGCTGCCTCTTCCATCACTCCGCCTCCTTTGGGTATCAGTCCTTTACAGCAGAAACACAGCACTCTCCATGAACTTCTCTTGAAGAAAGAAGCTTTCTCAGCATCTCCTGATCGGCAGCTACTTGGCCAATCTGTTCCTGGTCCTGCAAGCCCCATTACTTCAATGGCTGTGTCCTCAGGACTTGATTCAGCTCCTAGTAATCGAATAGGAAGAGGCACTCTCATCGCAGGTTCCAGCTCTCGACTCTCTTCCTCTGCACCAACCCATCTTGGACTTGAGCAGATCTGGCAGCGCAGGGAACCACGTCAACATCTTTTGTCTACTGGTTCTTTAGCCGAAGCAGGATCCACATCCTCTTTGTCAACTGGTATGTCTTGTGTGTACATATATTATTCTCAACGTATGTGACAGGTGGATTTGTTGGCGCTATTTTACTCAACAAATAGAAAAAAAAACTAGAAGAAGATTACAGAAATAATTTATAATTAAATCTACATCGATAAGAATAACGTATCAGTAAGCAAGACCAGAACAGTAGATTCACTCTCAACAGAGTACTTAATTAATGCATACAAAGCAGAAAAACAAAGGGCAGCAAAATCATTGCCAAGCTTCAATGTGATAATATGTCCAGTACATGTAATTCCATACTTACAAGGCATGGACATATTTTCCCAAACATTAGGTACCTGAAATTAGTTTCTTTTTTCTTTTTTAGACATGATATCATGTGAATGATTTCTTAATATAGTGAGTTTACTCATGCCTTTGAGAAATAATATTCATTGGCTTATGTAACATAAGCATTTGTAAAGTGAAAAATCATTAGATTTAGTGTGATGGCTATTGAATTTGATGTATGATCACAAAATGCCTTTTTTTGTGAATAGTGTTCTGATAATTAGAATGTTATCAGGAAGGATGAATGAATGAGTGACTGAAGTACAAACAGTAGCAGTGGGTAATATCTAATTCCCGGTGAAGGACATAAAGTCAGGGAGGGCCTTGACATTCCCCTGACTGGTCCCAGAAAAGTGAATGAATTTTTGTATTAGTTCAAGCATTTCCAATAAGAATGGAGTGAACAGCAGGCAGTTCTGAATAACATGACTTAAGTGTTCTTTTGTACTGTGCCCATCAGCATATAATAAATACAGCTAAAAGCACATACATTCATCCACCGTGACATTTTTCCACTCTTTAAATGTAGAGTGAAATATAAAAGGGACCAGAAGTTTTTTAAATCTCCAGCTGTGCCTGTTGGTTGGTTTCATTCATTATTAGCTGCATAAGAGATGTGTCAGATGTTTCCAGAAATGGCCACTGTATCCAAATTAGATACATCAAATTGTAGGTTTTGGATACCACAGAATGCTTCCTATACAGCAGATAGTCCTGACCATGATGACACTGATGTCAGATGTTAAGATAAGTCTCAGTCATTAGCTGCACAATAAATAAGGTCATTTATACATAATTACAGGGTTTGTTTATTTCATTGTACCTTCATTCAAACCCCCACCTGAATAGAATTTTTTTTTTTTTTGAATTGTTTCATTTTTGGTCCGTTACACTATCAGTCACAAAGTCAATAGAAAGTCCGTCGAGTGTAACAATTTGTAGGTCAGTTCTTTATCACTTCTGCCTTACATGTTTCGGTTTAATAAAACCATCATCAGAGGCACATAGTACAATCATGAAAACACTGTCGCTGTTTAAGATGTACACAGTTATGTTTGCTGTGTGGACGCTGCTACAATATGTCGACGTGTAAAAGCACAACACTTGCTAGGATTGTTGAATGCACGTTCAGTTCTCACATTCCATCCGAAACTGCCCTCAAATTAAAACGCCAATGTTAAAATATTTAAAATTTAAAACATTTGAAGTAAAATGTTNCGTCCACGCAGCAAACATAACTGTGTACATCTTAAACAGCGACAGTGTTTTCATGATTGTACTATGTGCCTCTGATGATGGTTTTATTAAACCGAAACATGTAAGGCAGAAGTGATAAAGAACTGACCTACAAATTGTTACACTCGACGGACTTTCTATTGACTTTGAGAATTTTTTTTAATTCACATAGTGGGGGGGTGGAGTCCGGTTTGGTCCACTTGGCACGGCAGCCACTGATTGGCCTAAATAAAATATTTCATTCCTCGGTTAGAGAACAGAAATGGAGCTTTCAGTATAACCTATGGTGTACATGATAGGGCATTTATATTCGTGATGTATGGCATGCATGAAACCATGCTTAAGGGTTAAAAGCCTTTTGAGTCATAAAAGAATCTTTTGAGGTTGTCAAAGAACTAGTTAGTCTTAAAAGGTTCATGGCGCAACAGTAGAGGAAGATTATTCTTAGTATTGTAAAGTGTTTTGCCACTGAAGACACCATTCGGATTGTTAATTGGTTTATTTAACAACATACAAGTCGTAGATACAAATAATTATAACACAGTTGCGTGTTTACACAATTTATAAACCCTACACAATAAGCTGTTCACTCAGTAGTCAGTAGTCTTCAGTAGTCTTCACGTATTTATAAGGCGGGAGCTATACAAGTCTCTGTGAATTACACACTCCCAATATAATTGCACTACAGCACACAAATCTTGAAATCACACGATAAGTCTTCACTTGCTGACTTCTCAATTATCGTGCACTATCACAGATTATCACATCAGATCTTCTAACCACGTGTTTGCTTCTTCTTCCCATGACTGCTGCTATATTTCAAGTGACTGTTTAATCGTTACTCACTAGTAACTCTCCCTCTTTCTCTCTAGTAACTGGCTCAAACCTCACTACTGAATAGTGTTCGCTGCTCCTTATTTAGGCTCTGCATGAACAACACAGAAAACAGTTACGTGATAGGTACCGCTGTTGCGCGACGCTGCGTTTACAGGTTGCCTAGCAACACTGTCAAGAATTGTTTACTGCTGTGTAGTAGCTGCGGTATCCCTTGTTATGTCACCGTGGGGGAGGGGGTGTTTACCGAGCGTTGCATAATAATGGAAGGGGTGAGGGTATGTGACGTCACTCACGAGACTGCATAGTTCATGTGACCCCTACTTCGTGTTGCGCCATCCACGTCACAGTATGTATGAAAAGGAAGTTTGCCTACCCTGGACAAAACTAAAGGGTCAACAACAATCAGGACTCCAAGTGTGATTAAGAAGACAGGTTTGATGGATAGAACTGTGTGAAAAGTAGACTGATACAGTCCCAGATTTTACATGGAACTTCACTGCATAGTCCACTACCAATCATTTTGTGGAAAACTGAAGTTTAGACATGTCGAAAATTGTAGTATCAGTTGGGAATTTCATTTGATCTCATGGAATTCATCATCACTAGTTTCAGTCTCTCTTGTCTGAAACTGATGCTGAAAATGGGGGCCAATTTATATGGCTGAGTCATGGAACAGTGTTGAAACATTTAGGCAGCTTTGGAGCTATGAATAGAAAGGTTCATAAATGAGGAGGGCAAAGCTGGAGCTAAGTGATGAAAAGTGGCTTTGGTATTTGGCGTTGATATTTGGTATGAGCTGCCACTTAAATGAATTATATACCAGACCTCAAGGTCAACGGAATGTTTCTGGCATGCTTGGGGCTGCAAGAGCTTTACAAATGAAGCTGACTATTTCAGAAACAGCTGGGAAATGTTAACATATATCGCATTTTCTTCCTGTGATTTACTTCATGAGGTTGGATTAGTAAGGGTTGCCTTCCAAATGCCTGTGCTGTAGAAGTGATTGCTTGGCTGATATTTTTAAAATGAGATTCAGTGACTTTCATAACCATGCTTTGAAGGTACATATCCTTCAAAAAGCATCCTCCATTGAAGTCAGCATTGCTTCAGAAAAATAACAGCTTTGGTTGTGCAGTAATGTCAGTCTTGGAGCCTCAGTTACCATTCATGCATCTTCACAAGTAAGACTATTTCATTTGTTTTTTTTTTTTTGTTGCTAGTGGGGTGGGACTAAGTACCTTGTATTGCGGCCGCTTCTGGCCTGTTGTAACATCCCCAGATGATAGGTGAGGGTGACTGTGGAGCAGTTGCTGGAATGAAGATTGGCAGGGGAAACCGAAGTACTCAGAGAAGACATGCCCCAGTGCCACTTTGTCCACCACAAATCCCACTTGACCAGACCCGGTATCAAACCTGGGCCACTGTGGTGGGAAGCCAGCGACTAACCGCTTGAGCTATGGCACGGCCTTACAAGTAGGACTATCTCACTTCTCTGAATTAGATAATTTTGGCAAGTGTATCTGGTAGCACATATACATATGAACAGGCTTTATCATGTTTGAAACAAGACAACTTGAAGTTCTGTTCGTGAATCACAGATGTGCACTTACATGATTTGGCATTTCAAAACTCAGATGAAATGCTTATTCCTTTGTGGAACAAAGGCAGGTCCACGTTTCACATTAATAAGGTAAGTTTAGGCTTACTCTTGTGATTGAAATATTCTGTTGTGCTTGTAATGACATATTTGAATGATCCAGCCCAAATTGCATACTGTATCTGTCATTGTGGCCTGCCTAAACTGTTGAATATCCATGATAAAAACAATTGCAAGAATCTTTCAAGCCAGCAGATTGTACAATACAGTGTAGGACTTGAGGTTTTGACAGCAGTGACTATGAAGAATGCTGTTTTCTCGGATGCGGAACTTTGTAGATCTTGTGTGAACCAATGTTTTGGAGGAACATGTTACCTCCATCTTCAGGGTAGAAGAATCCGCAAGTGAGGAACCAGCATGACCAGGTGGCTAGCCATGCCACAGACCACACAGAAAACACAGTTCTATTGTAAGAACCATTGTGTAATATAGCAATTGGTCACAGAGAACCCTGTTCTTACTGTTGTTCAGCACAAACATAGAAAACAGCCTGATGTCTTGTTGCATAACCTAGTAATTGACTATTTACCAAGAATCGGTCTTTGAAGGAGCTTGTTGCCTAGCAGTGGGTGTACATGTAACGTGTTGAGAGAATATCTGGAAAAATTTTCATATATGCTGACAAAAGAAAGTATACAGGTGCCCCATGCAGCAGTACAGAGCTTCACATTATGGATTCTGTGTCTTAAAATATGAAAAAGGGTCCCATAAACATGGATTCCAACAATATAAGCAATGTTAACTCTTGTAAGTTTTGAGGTTTTCACGGCGATGACTATGAAGACGACTTTCTTCAATGTTAACCTTTCTTTGCAAATAATGCTACTAATGATGTAGAAGTACTATTCAAAACATTTTTATGGCAGCTGGGCATCATATGCCTCACAGAAACAAAATCAAGGTAGTAACTTTTGGTAAAACAGCTTTTCTTCTTACAGTGACAGTTTTTGAACAGTGTTATATCAAGGTCACTTCCCAACTTCAGTATTAATTACAACAGTATCTGTCTCAACAAACCAGATTATGCAATTGCATACAGTGGCTGGTAACTAGAACATTTACTCCTATCTCTCTCCCACTTTTTTTTTTTGTTGCCAAAATATCAAAGAAAGTTAATTTTTGTTACTGCATTTCACATAACACTTTCAGAATTTAAACATTTTTTTTGTTGCTGTAAGAAGAAAAGGGTTTCTTGTTTTATGAAAAGTTTGTGTATTGCTTTTGTAATTTATGAAATTTTGTGATAATTATGAGCAATTAAAATGTTCTGAAAAGCCTTTGCATGCCATTTACAGTATTTCTTGTAAAAAAAAAATGTTAAAATTGCCTGTATCTATGTTAGGAAGCAATGAAGCTCCCGTGTTTATAGTCTCCACCCTTTCTTGTTTTTTGGTCATAAAATCCATGGTGTGAAGCTTTTTGCTGTTGCATGGGATGTTCTATATGTAGCATGATAGAGAATTAGATGGAAAAACCAATTTGACTTATGAACCTTAGAATGGGCTTCAGCCAGTGCTTTTGGAGGAGGAAGTACAGTTTTTCAAGGTTCTTCTGGCAGGTACTATGAAGAATACTGCCTTCTGGGATGTAATGCGATGCAGTGTGGTAGAAGTTTACAAACCCCAGAAGACAGTATTCTTCAAGTAAAACTTTGTAGATGAATTATATGGCATATATTACACACGTTTTGCAACCATACTTAAGTATATAAAACAAATAAATTAATGAAGCCATCATGATATAAATTGTCGTGGTTTTAATAGGATGAAGTTTGATTATCCTAAATTATGTAATAACTGTGTAGACTTGCATGATTGACTTTTTTTTGTAAAGTTCTGTGTTTCACTCACTATTTTGTTCATTTGTAATGGCAGGTGGTGTCCTGAGTCCCGAATCTCACGACTTCTCGCATGATGAAGGTTTTGACTCTGAAGATGATAGCGATCATTATGAAGACTTCTCATCAGATGCTGGTTGGTTTTTATATCTTCATGTAATCACCAAAGTTTTTCATTCCATCTCTCCCACCCTGTTTCTCCAAAATGGCAGGTTGTAGAAGTTGGTAAAGACAAAATCATTTCCTCTTGGAGACAAAAGGTGGAAAATACTTAATTCTGTTAATACATGCTTGGGTTTGAGTCCAAGCTGAGTTACTTCCCCATTACTTCCTGCGTAAGGGAGGCTTTTGTATTGAGACAACAGTGGGATTATTGCTAGGCTACAGGGAGGAATCCAAACTGCCTTATGTCCCTTAGGATGCAGAGGCAGATCCAAACTGTACTGGCCATTAGTAGGATATGTGGGGGAAACCTGAAATATCTTGTGCTGATGAGGTGAGGGAACTGTTTCAACTTGAAGGAGAGGGAGGAAGGACGTCATAATAGGACAGACAACATGTAAAAGAATGTCAGAGATAGAAGGGGAATTATTGCCCCCCCCCCATCAAATTTGGCAGGTAATATAAGCAACCACCAGGAACAAGAGGAATGGTTTCTATGATTTCAGTACAGATTTTTATACATATTGTTGTTTCATATTGCAGGAGCTGTGATGAATGCTATTTATTTATTATTATTTTACGTGACAAATTTTACAGAATGTTTCTGAAATAAATCCCTTATTAAGCGGTATGGGAATGTTAGACTGAGTTTCAGCCAACTTAAATATGGATGTGCTTGTTACGTTGTTACAACCATGTCATTTTGAAGGCTCACATGCTAGACAGAAGAGGGTGTAAAATGATGCATATGTGTATTGCAGTTATCTCCTACAAACTACTTATCACAGCATAATAGAACTTGTTCACATCAGGATGCTGGGTGTGTGATGATCATTATCACAAGGTCCTTTGGGTTTTAACAATGCTACGATAGGCATTTTTCATGTGACCACAAAGATAGTAATTGATTATGTTGACATGCCATATAAGAATATTATGTATCTAGTATACAATGGCTTCACATTACTCCTGGCGTTCTTTTTTAGTTGCAGCCTTGTATTTATGTGGTGTTGCAGAATCTATAGTGAGTGATGGGGAAACAGGTATGTCAAAACTGTCTTCATCCATGTCCAAAAAAGAGCGTTACTTTTGGCAATACAACGTGCAGGCTAAGGGACCAAAAGGACAGCGTCTTGTACTGAAGACCCGTTTTGAAGACCCACATGTTCTCAATGAAGTAACTGATCCAGTGTTCAGTCCTGAGTGTTCAGTCAGAGGAATAAAACATAGGTAAATACTAATGTTATTCATATTGTGGCCATACAGAGTATGTAATGGCCCTGGCGTCGACTCAGCCTGTAACAGAAATGAGTACCAGGAATTAATTAAATAATTTTCCTGGGGAGTAAAGCGCAGCCGGTGCATAAGGCTGACAACCTTACCACCATCTTTGAGCTGATTGTCTAGATAATGTGGGAGCCTCAACATCTAACAACCCTATGGGCCTTCACGGCCTGTTACAGGAATAGCTTTACTTTTTACCTTTATCTGTCATGTTACAGTAGAGTGTCATATTTCTTGTCAGTAAGTCTCACTGTAGCATGCTGAATGATTTGATGACTGAATAATAATGAATTTGAAGGGATGTGGATGGAAATGTATGTGGCCTAAGTTAAATTATTAAATGGGTATTTACCTTGGGGGGGGGGACCACAAAAACATGTTGGGAGTTAAGTGTCCTGGCTGAGATTTGAACTAGACATGTCACACATGTGAGCCAGAAGCATTACAATGGGAGCCAGCTTGCTCAATCACAGTGTCATAATCCAGAAGACTGCATATGGAATCTTCAACATCATAACAGTTTCAGTTCTTCTCCTAATATTCTAAAAGTATATTAAGATCTATAAGTTTGTGACAATGATACATTAGTACAAGTATTATGTTTTTGGATATTATCCATCATCCTATCTGTCTAAAAACACTTCTTTTTTATTTTTAAAAACAACATTTTGGAGGCTGTATTCTGTCTCCATCTTCAGGCAAAACCTACTCAGTTGGGCCAAATCATTAGATCTAGTCCCTATCTCTGGACTAGCTCTATTGATTGGGCCCAAAACATTGTTTTGAAAAATAAACAGGACGGTAGTTTTAGATAAAGACAGGAGGATGGATAATATCAAGAAACATAATGTATGTATTACAGTATATTGTTAACATCATGTATTATACAGTAGAAAGTATTAGTGATTCTGTCACATCCACTGTTAAATGTGCAACAAAAGAATAATACATGGGTGTTGTTTTGGTGTAACAAATTGCGTATGTTTAGGTGTAGTGGATATAATGTTGAATCATTATGGTCTTATATGGTTTCAGTGGTAAAGCAAGGAAAGGAGATGGGAATGATTTAACACCCAACCCACGTAAGTTATGCAGTATTGGTAAGGAGCTTGATAAGTTGGGACGCATAATAAATGATATGACACCTGTGAGTGAATTACCATTCAACATACGACCCAAGACACGCAAAGAGAAGAACAAACTAGCCTCCAGGTCAGTGATGTTGCTGTTGTAGTAAAATATTTTGTTGCTGAGAGTTGAATCACTTGCTATAAAAATAAAAATCTTGGATTGCTTCTCAGAAATATTCATAGGCCTTCTACTAATTGTCTTAGAGGCAATTTTCAAAACCTGTAAAAGAGAATTTGACTATATGATCTTACTGTGGATTTGCATCTGCACAATTCGCTGACCTCTGTAATGCAGTTTAGAATTGGCCACTGTTTCTATTATATGCCAGGTCACACTGTTGCATAATAAACCTCAAAGTATTCCTTGCCCCAGTTTGTAATTGAACAAGAATGTATATAGTCCACAGAGATTCAGAAAGATTACAAAATGTGTGTGCCTTTTTTGTGGCATACAGTCCCTTAAGTTATGTATTGATTAAGCGTAACAGTTTACTAGTATATGACACCATGTAGTATGGTAGATAAGTACCATGTTTCAGAGGAACCTTCTGCCTGTATCTACAGGGTAGAAGAGAAGCAGAAGGTTCCTCCAGAACATTGGTATCTTGTCTGCCAAAGTACATGGCACCATATTCCAGAATTCACTGTCATAATAATGTCACATCTCACGTGGGTTGTCCCAATATTCCAGAGCATGTCGACTAAAGAAGAAAGCTCAACATGAGGCCAACAAATTGAAGCTGTATGGGTTGGAACATGAACACAGTATGTATATATGGATGTTTTAGCTTTTATTTTTCCCAACCCCTCCCTTAACCGATATCACATTTAGTGGCTTGCATGCTGGCTTATGTCTGGAATTCATTTTGCAACATTATTTTTTGAGCCATAGTTCAGGTGGTACAGACATTTGCTTCCCGCCATCAAACCTGGGGTTCAGTCCTGAATGACTTCATGTGAGATTTGTGGTGGATAAAGTTTCTTTTTTCTCTGAGTTTTCCAAATTTTTGCTAGCTAATCATTGTACTGTCATTACTCTGTATTCATCGTACACTTCCATCATTTCTCTGTACTTACCTCTCACTATGTATGGTATCTGTAATCAAGTAGCACAGTATGATATCTGCAGTATTTAATTTGGAAGTACAGGGACAGCTTTACCTTACCTTCCAAATCCCTCTTTTCTTTTACAGGCCCAACAGTTTTACCAGCAAGGGACGCTTCTATTGAAGAAGTCCAGAATCTCAGTTTCATTGACAAAACAGAAATATAGAGGAATACTACTTTTGGTTCATAGCTTTTGTGGTGATTTAGGCAAACTCATGGTAGCTTGTGTGTCCTAAACCTGAAACCTAGTTCCATCCCTTACTTGCTACACTGATGGCAGAATATGGAATGAATGTTGGCTCTGCTAGATTTCACAACATCAGCCTTCTAAAAGCCTGTAACATGTAAATAGTTATGTATAGTGAAACTGCTATAAAGTCAAGTGTAGCTTAGAATGAGGACTGCATTAGAGTGACAAAAGCTAGTGGAACCTTCAATTTCTTAATGTTGCATATATGGGAAACCACGAAACAGGGACCCTTTTCCCGCAGCTTAATAATAAGTGAATTGTAACTAACTGGCACTCTTCTCATAATTTTTTGCACCCCTTTATTTCTTAATTTTGAAAGCAAGGGGGCAGGGGTGAATGTTCCTCTTCCATCAATTATTTTGCTGTTAACTACAAAAGACAATAAACTGAACCAAAAGTGTTTTAAGAAAAGAAAATTTACAGATTCATATGGAATGCTGTTTTTTCTGTAAATAAGTTTTGTAGCTCTTTATAAGAGTTAGGATTTTCTTACTGGTTATGGAAGAGAGTATTCATTTATTTGTTTAAATGTATGAATTTTTTCAAATATTTTACAGTAGTGCTTTAGTTTGCTTGATACTAAGAAATGTGATTTTTACATCTGCTGCATAAAGCATATAAAAAAATGTTTCATTGTTACAGAGCGTCTCAATGTTGGAATCTCTCAAATCAAGCAGGTTTTGGCAGCAAAGTTCACTGCAGAAAATCACGAAAATCAGGAGGAGCTTACAAAGCACATAGAGAAAGCCGTCAAAACAGCTACAAGTAAGTAAGCTTCATGAGGACTCCAATTACTGATCTAATTTGACCTCGGTTACAACCAGACATGCATGCTATAGGACATTTAATGTTTAGTCCTACAATATATATTATTACCTTGAGAAATTTTCATTGCCTTGTAATCATTTAGATGTATGTATGATGCAAGTTGGGAGATCAGTAGGGTTATCACAACCTGTAGTTCATCCCAAATGGAAGAAGTCATGTACAGTGGATAAAAATTGGACAGAATAGAGTGCAATCTCAATTTAAGGTTTTCCTGCAGTTAGTGTACATTTTTTGGAGTCATGGTAAAAGTTCCATGTATGCAATGAATAAATTACCCCATTTTAGCCTTTGCCAGTACGAGATTTTATCCGCATTTAGTGGATGAAAATTCAGTTCCTACATGAAGTCTGTGCCATGACTTAGTGTCTGTCCTAAACCTGACCTCCCTAATTTATGCAGCTCTTAGATTATGCATTAGTGTTTGCTCTTAGTGAGATTCTGTGTCATTGGCTAGTGAACAATATGTGTGGATGTCCATTGACCTTGCAAGCAGTTAGTACAAGAAGCCATGCCATGCTTCATCTACCAGATTTTGGAGGCTGTGTTAACACTTGTTCACTGCATATTGTTTGCAGTATATGTACACAAATCACTGTTTAACCTTTAAACGACTAAAGACCCCGTATGGGGTCGCACAAGTTTAGTCAGCGGTACGAATGTCCCCATATGGGGTCGCACAGTCCGCGCGTGCGGACGTTATTTGAAATACATTTTTAAGGTAGAAAATAATGTCCTACTTATATAATTTTTGGCCACCATCTGCATGGAGTGTCTGTCTTCCCACCTGCGTCATCTGCTGGAATGTTGCCTT